TGTAAATAGAAGTTGCCCCTCTATTTACCAGGTATGGAAAACATCAGTGGTAGAACTGGATTTGAAGTCAATGTCTGTTTTACAGGTTCCTTTGTTCAGTGGTACTTGCTAAAAATGCTGAACCTACAATATATTAGAAGGGATTAATGGTAGTACTGGCAAGTGCCGCTAATGGAGCCCATCAGAAGAGTGAAGATGTGTAGCTGACATTGCCATTCTTTACAGATGCTTTTGTAACACCTGTACCAATAGCTCTTAGACTTGCTTTGTAGCTTGATACACTTTGACTTAAAATAATTTTAGTCATAATAACACATCTGAAACTTTTTATCCTTTTGATACTTAAATGGGCATGGTAGTAGTAGTACATAGAAACTGGACAATATTCCTTCAGGTTTGTGAACCATCTGTTACTCCAATATTTCAGCGGTAACCTAGACGTTACCAGGACAACAGAATGTTAGTCTTTGTATGCTATAGATTTAATAACCTGGAGAATTTTGAACCCACCCCTTTTATGTGATTACTTTAGAAGCTCCCTATCTTGTCTTCACCAAGATTATATTGAGGAAGTAAAGTCAGGTAAGGTAAAGACTTCATCACCCCTCTTTTTTTTTTTTCTCATTAAAAACACATTAACTGAAGTCAAGCATAGTAGAATTCACATAAAGACTACTCAAAGAAGTGATGAAAAAGACACAGAATGCAGGAGAAAGTGATTTTTTGATTTTTGGACTGTCTCCTAAATTTCTCTTCTTTTTTTTTTTTCCTGATGTGGTACAAGGTATTGAAAGAGAAATCAGGGGAAATCTAGGAGTAAATACAAGTGGGGCACACTTTACCTATTCCTCTAACTCGATTTTAACCTCTTACCTTTAAAGTGAAGTAGAAGTATAGAAGGCTGAGCACATACTTCTCATGAGGGAACCAGATTTAATTGAGTGCTATTTGAGCCCTCAGTGAGTCCTAATCTCTACTTAAATTTGCATGAAAAGTCTTTTCACATCATGCAAGAATTTCCGGGACTGGATTTTAATAATCAGTACTGGCAGCGACCATGGGAACCGGCCCAGGTTTATTAGTAGCTAACAAAGTGTATAGGAAAGAATTAAACCAAGATGAGTTTTTTTCTTTGAGACAGTAGTTCCCAAATTTTGGACCATGGAGCAATGTTGACTGTTACAAGACTTCATTGCACAGTCAACCTCAGTAGCAAAGTTGTAACTGGAAATGTGTAAAATCGATATGATTTCAGGGCATTGGCCGTGCAAGCACTGCAAGTTGGAAAGCACTGATCTGGCAGAAGTGGGGTACAGAGCAGGTTCTGAGTTTCCCTCAGGGATCATAGAATGGTTTGGGTTGGGCCTTAAAGATCATCTATTTCTATAGCCCCTGCCATGGTCAGGGACACTTTCCACTAGAACATGTTGCTCAGAGCCCCATCCAACCTTGCCTTGAATGTTCCCAGGGATTGGCTCATGGAAGCAGCACCTGGAGGCTTCACTGTTGTGCTTCAGCAGAACATACCCTGAGTAGAAATCCCTTCTTGTTTTCCTGTATTGATCATATTGAGATGTATGTTGAAAGTTTAGGGGCTGGTCGTGACCCCAAATGAAAATCCAGTATGTGATCATCTTGGGACTGGTTGTGTTCTTTCAAATTGCCCTGACTGGAAAACGGAATATGTTTGTTAACACAATGAGATCCCTTTTTTTGCATAAGCTTTTGGGAATTGAGAGATTTACTAAGGGTTTGGAGGTGCTTGATTTGTAGTCCTCTAAGAATATTCCTCATAGAGTTGCAGTATGGCTGTCTCTAGTGAGACTGCACCACTATCATGGCAAAAATGATACATGTATCTCCTAAGCCTGCTTCCCTGCTGTGGGGCTCTCAATTTTTGTGCTCTCATCTTTTCAGAGCATACAGGCTGTGTGAGATTAGAGTTTTCCTAACTTTAAGATCTGGTATTAAGATGTAGATATGATGGTCAGTGGTATAGATAGTCTTCTATAAGCCTTTTTGTAAAAAGCTTTCAGACGGAGTTAAATGAAAAGATGACATGGTAGCAGTAACTGCACTCTAGATGGTTGTTTCAGGGTTGATATTTTGCATAATAGGACAAGTAGGTCTGAAATTGTTGAAGTGAAGACAGAATGAGGGTAGGTGTCCCCTTTCGAAGGGTGATGTTAGAATTTTATTTCAGCTTGTAGGCTAACCATATGCATCTGAAAGGGCTTTGCACTGGCATAGTGGATCACTCCCATCAAGGAGATTAAAGGAACTAAAGATTATGCCAGCCTGTGCCTATGGATAAAAAGTTAAAGCTCTTTCTCTAGCAGAACCTGGATGTTTATATGACCTTTAACTGTGTACATAGTGTGAACTATTATGTATTTGAGAACAAATCTGTGGTAAAGAAGAAATTTAGAGACAGAATAAATATAGAAAAAGTCTTTCTTGCATTCTTTTTGCTCAAGTATGTAGCAAAATCTCATGTAAAGCTTAGAAATTTACTTATGTGTTCATTTTGCTGTGTGTTTTTAGTTTTGCTTGAAAATTTAAGTTGAATTGCTAAATTATGGGACACAAACACCAAGTAAAGGTAATGATTACATTTTCTAGAGAAAAATTTTTATAGTTTAGGATGTCCCACTTTGGAAGACAGATGGTGAGAAAGAATTTGTTTGAGTGAGCAGCACCTCCAGTTAGTTTGGGGATATTGTTGGTTTTTTATCTATCACTACTTTTCTACTTTTTTAGTCTTTTTTTCTTCCTCTTCCTTTTTATTATTTTATTTTATTTTCCTGTCATGCAGCACTTTGTCCCAAAGCTGTCATTTTCTAAAGGTTGTATGGCATGACAGATACAAGAATGTACTCTTAATGTAGCTATATTCAGTTGTGTAATTTAGTCTTTCCTTTAATGTTGAATCCTTAAAAAAGGAGTCTAAGACTGTATAAATTAAAAATATTTTCTCTTGATTTTCTTTTTAAACAAGTTTTCTATATAGCATAAAGAATTAATTAGTGGCTAAGATCTAAGCAGTAACAAAAAATACATCTTACACCAACTGAACAAGAAGGTGTTTGTAGTTACAGTTACTCAGCACTTGATTTGGAATTTGGCAGGATCTTCTCTTCAAACTAGAAAACACGCAGATGCAATTTCATGTTATTTAGTGGTGTGTTGTGTTCCCTTTTTTATTTTAAATCGATTGCATGATCCTGCCAAATTTTCGACTCAGTTTGTTTCTCCAATCTTTGCAACTAAACTATTTATATAATATACATAATGGATAAAATTACTATTTAACTTCAAGTCCCTCTGAAACATAAAGTAATAAAATACATGCAGCTTAAAATGGGAAATCAAATAGACATGGATAGGCATTTTAAAATGTTTATTTCTCCTTTTTTTCCTTCAAAAGAGTATAGAAGTGACAAAACCATGTATTATCATGACACTGTAGAACAATGGAATAATGCTGACTGCAAGCACTTAACTACATCATTCTTTCTCAATATGGACCCAATGGCTTGATGGAGGGGAGCTGCAAGCATTCTGGAGGACAGGGTCATTTGGGATTTGAAATGATCTTGAGAAGTCAGAGAACAGGATGCAAATGAGGAAGAACAAGTACAAAGTACCATCCATGAGCAGAAATATTATGTACAGAGGACAAGGAAATGCTAGATAAGGTACCTAAAGTTCTGTAGGTTGCAGTGCTAAACATGAAAACCAGTGTCATGCTGTTGTGATAGAAGCAAGATCTTTATCAGGATATGAAAACAAAAGAATTGCCCACTCTTCTTGGAGGAAGAGAGTAGCAAAACAGTTGGAAAGTATAATCTCTGAGGCAGGAGGGTGTGTGTGCAAAAAATTAGAAGAATTTTGTCTGTTTAGTGTAGAGAAGGAAAGAGATAGCAGTTCTCAAATGCTTAGGGAGTTGTTTACAAGATGAATGCAATCTGTTATTTTCTGGGTCCAGACAGATGTGACAAGGAGATTACATTATACATTAAGATAGCTAACTAATGACAAAGATGGTTAAGTTTAGTTTAAGTTTGCCTAGACATCTTGTAGAAACTGTGACTAAAAGATTTTAAAACAGATTTGAATGCATCTGTCAGAAATGGTTTAGATTTAGTTGAAATTGCCTTGGATCTTCCAATCCATTGAGGCATTATTTTGCAAATAGAATCTGTTTTCACCTTCTTCTATGCTTCTGTCATCATTAAAGAGAAAATAATTTCTCGACCTAGTTAGAACCCATCTACTCTGTCATGGAACTTTCTGAATGCTTAATTAAATAATCAATTTCTTTTTTTTTGTTTCAGATCCTTTGTCATTTTTATGTGGATTGTCACTTTGTCAGTTTCTCTCTTTTTTTTTCATTTAGTTCACATTTACTTTGTCACCTTTGTATTTTTTTTTACTTAGTCCTTTTCCCTACTGTGTAATATGTTTTCTAACCTCACTTGCAAGCACTTTTAATTCCTTGAATGCACTATCCCACTGCTTTTCTTTGCTATTGCCAGCACCTTCATATTCTCTTCTCTCACTTGTTTTTGTCTTTTTTCTGTATTGTTCTTTAGTACGTATGTACAAAATCTTGTCTTTTTCTTTTTCACCTGTATATGTTTTACTTATAAAATATTGAAGTTTAAGAACCCTGCAAAACACAGTTTGATAGAAATGTTATGAAATAAATGAAGGCAGTCACTGTAGGGACCCTCCAAGTAGAGAGGTGGGGGTTTTTGTGTATTAAAGAAAACAAAGTATATGCTGTCAATGCATATGGTCTGCCAGTGCCTGTACTTCAGTAGCTTTTGTCTATTCCAAGGAGATTTGACAGATGGCTAGGATCCTCAAAGATGTTAAGTTCTTCCAAGTTTCATGAAAATTGGCAGACCAAAATTATTTCCTTATCTGAAAGAAAGAAGTTATAAATTAGCCATTTACATATTCTGTAGGGTAGCAGTCAGCTGACTGATTGAAACATGTCTTGGATAGCCAGCCAAGCTCCAAAACAGTCCTATGCAACATGCCCAGAAGAAAATATCAAAGGAAGATCGATTGGTCAGACTCAGTGACATGGAAGGGAGCTGGGCTTCTGTGAGGGACTGTTTCACATATACCAATGGCAAACCAGACTTCACTGATTCTAATGATCATGGGAATGCTATAAAGTGTTTTTAGTGTTGTTTCTCTGTTATTTGTAACATCAGTGAGGCCATCTCTTTAAAAATAGTGATTACTATGAAATTTCATTTGTCCATTCTTATTATTTTATTATAATTTTTTTGAGAATCTGTTATATCCTTCAAAATTTGTGTGGCTCAGTTCCACAGTTCATTAATACTTTGGTCTATTCATGCCAGGACAGTCTGAGGAAATAAGGTAAACTGAAAACCATATTGTGGGTACTTCAAGTTAGAAGCATGATACTGTGTGCTAAACAAATTCTTGGACTTCTCCTTTGCATTTCTTTGTTGCAGTGTATTGGATGATTGCGGGTTTTTGTTCAATGTATGACAGCTTAAGAAAGAACTTAAGTTTCCAAGACTAAAAGCTTTCAAGTAGAGATTTCTGTGTTGATTTTAACCATGATGTATTTGTCTGCTTATGTGTTCTGTATTACCAAACTCTTTGTGAATGCCTGTTTGTATTTCTGAATATTAAAATGAAAGGTACTGATGATAATAAACTTGATAAGTATAAGGTAACTCTGAAACAATACGATCAGTACTAAATTATTGAGCAAACAAAGCTAGAGAAGGGAAAGGATGAAAGAATTCTAGTGTTGAAGTAAAAGCATAGAAATCCCACTGTCCTACTGTTGATCTATCCCATGGTGTTGTGGGTTTGTTTTGGATTTGGGATTTTTTTGAGACATTTAGGATTCATTCTGGGATCTGATAAGGAAGTGGAGAGGAATTTGTAGATAATTCATAGGTTGGTTGAATTCAGTTAGTTTGTTCCTGCTGAATACATATTTTGTAATGCTGCTGAGAAAATTGTGCTGTTATAAGACTGAGTTTCAGCATGTCTAGAGTGCTTTTTCCTTTTCTACTATTTCTTAAAACTAAAGACACAAATAAGTTTGTCTTTATTCAATGTGAACCTCACTGCAAATGATAAAACCAAAATGTTTCCCAGGCTGTTGGCTGTGTTTATTTTTACTGAAGTTTCTTTAGCTGTTTCTGGATGTTTGACTAATAATATATTTTTATTCTAAAATAATAATTTGAATTTAATGACAACAACAGAACTGGTTTAATTATCAATATAAAAAGATAACTTAAACAGTACTTAACTAACGGTTTAATAGAATGCAAGAAAATATACTGTAATTATAAAAGAAAAGTGAATGAGTGAATTAAACAAGAATATGTTATGTTATGTCTATAAATACTTGATCTCGTTTTTTGTTTCTTCATTACTCTATTTTTAAAATATGGAGTTAAGAACTGTCTTCGTTTCTAATGCTCAGAATAAGAGATGTGATTTGTATGAACATATGCAGCAATTATGCCAAAACTAAATTTCTTCAGTTCTGTGGTTACTATGGTAACAAAAATTCACTGTATTTCATTTAGACATATACAACAGAATAGAAGATGTTTGATTTAAGATTTAATAACCTTTGCAAAAATACTGTGCTATACTACATGATATTTTAATTATGTGTGAGGGGACAGATCAAATAACTAACATGCTTAGTAGCATGAACATTGGTACTAATAATCTTTAAAATATATTTGGATGATTCTTGTGGTAATAGCAGCTTGGATGCTAATTTCTGACAATTAGATTAGATTTTTCTGCATGATCAGGGAGATTGCTCCTACTGCTGTGAGGTCTCTTTGGCCCCTCAGGAGTGAGAATGAGAACAGTAGTTCCCCTGTTATCTGGTTTCTGGCCTTGGAACGTGTGAGGAGGGACACTGAAACAGAAAATTAAGTAGCATCTTTAGTCAGAGATAGTTACGTTTTTTATGAACCCATGTCACAGAATGTGCTCTTAGTCTTAAGGTATTTATTTTCTCAATATAACTTGGTAGAAGTATAATTCATCTTTTCTGACTCATGTCAGAAAGGTGGAACTCAAGAATACGTAGAGAGAAAGACAAAGTGAATCATTCATGACTATGGCACAGAATACCTGGATTTAATTGCCTTATGTATTAAAAATTTCCTGTGTCCTTGACTTTTATCCTGTGTAATTGTATGTGGGTTGGTTGGTTTGTTTGGAGTTCAGAGTTGCACTAAGGTGTGTGGAAAAAGAATAGGGATTAAGTTTACTGAGGTGCAGACTGTCTAGCTGGAAAGAACCACAAGAGTAGTGGAATACTGAAAAAAAATCAAATTGATTTTGATACGGACCTATTGGAAGTATTTATATGATAGCAGTGAGAGCTCAACTATAATATTTTTAGTTCTGAATATCATTAGAAGTTTGTAAGAGTACATTATTGGATCTTCATTGCCTTCTTAAAGATTAAAGTGGTTGGTATAAGGAACTAGTTCTTGGGATCTTGTTCCCATGATAGGAATAAAGCACAACAAAGAACCTAAGGACTTTTTCCTGTCTTTTGCTGATTTTAGTAGCAATTCTTATAGTTCTGTTAGAGTTGGTGGTTTATATTAAACCCTGTAAAATTCTACATGAAGCCTTGTTTTCAAGTGGGAGGCCAGACTATCACTATAACAGATTTTTAATCCTTAATATTGCTATTTAAACAACACCAAGTACTATATTGGAATATCTGCACTAAATGTAGTTTGGGGGAATAATTTCAGGGATATCAATCCCTTTCTGTGTATTCTGAAGTAAACCTGGGCTGCATTTCAGTGTTTAAAATGATTCACTGCATCACTTGAGGACAGGCAGAAATTGCACAAGAAATTCTAGGAACCTAAAATCACATGGTAAAATACTGTTTTTTCAGAAAGGGAACATTTGGAGGTCAGGAAATGATAAAGTGAAGATTGTTCTTGGGATGTTAGCTTCTTTTAACTATGATTAGGTTATAATTTTTATTTAGGCTGACTGCATTTTGTGGAAGGAGGAAAAATTCCGACTCAAATGCCATAGTTACAGTGGAGCTGAGATTGATGAGAACATTTTAAACAAGTATTTGGCCATATCTATTGTTCTTATGAGGTAGATAATCTCAATTTGCGCTTAGTTTACTTCATAGGGAATTAGACTTTTGGTGAAAAGGTAAGTATGGGAGTTGGTGTGAAAAAGGTTCTTGTAGAATAAGCTTTTTATGAAGCATATTTAGGAATATCCCAAGTCTCTGCCTGAGAACTGGCTTTTATGATGAGAAATAGTAGCATTAGCTTATGTTAGGTGGATTGAAGTACTAATATCTGAATTCTGATTTCTTTTATTGGAAAAATTTTATCAAGGATTTTTTTTTTTTGCAAAAATTATGTTAGTTTCTCATCCTTCTAATTGAGATGTTGGTATTAGAAATCTATTTTTAGCAGCTGACAAATTATTTCTTTTATAGTAAAGTACCAAGAAGGTAATTAAAATGTTGTATGTGTTTGCTTTAGTTATATTCATATTTAATAATATATAAGGTACATATATTGATAAATATATAAACATGCATCTCTGATAAAAGATTTTTTTTCTTCTTCTTTATGGAGTTACACAGAATGACTTTTAGGAATTATACTGTAGTAATATGTCGGTTAGTTTGAATTCTGTAAAGCAGTTAGTGCAGAATAACATTTCCCTATGGTCAGAGGTATATATTACAGAATCGTGAGTGCTATCTCACTGGATTTGGCTTAATTTTTCTGTGTAAGACAATATAATTTTTTAATTTTTTTTTTATTTTTATGGCTACAGCTGTGATCATAAATAGTGCAATATGCTCTGAGCTCTCAGGCACATGGTGTGACTCTTGGGGTTGTCCTGTGCAGGGGTAAGAGCAATGATCCTTTTGGCCCCTTCCAACTCAGCATATTCTGTGATTCTGTGAATATTTATATGCATTGAGGTTAAGACTGTCAACAGATACTAAATGAACTATGTGCTGACTAATTTTTTTTTCATTCCTCAGATTGAAATGATACTTTTGTCATCAACTGTGTATTTGTCCACTATTTTTTTTAAGTGGGTTATTTTGTGCAGGGGAATGCATTATTGTGTTTTGTAACTGATTGCTTCACAGACAAGTGATGTTCTCACCTTTTTCTTAACACATGCTAGCATATCAGATAATAGTCTGTTCATACCTTAATCTGAATATATTACTGGCTATACAAGCAACAACAAATTGAAACTGTTTCTTAAACTTTTCTTCTGGATTTCATCCTTTCATATGTAGTATTTTTCTCATCTTTCTTCATTTCTCTACAGCTATTCTGTCAATACTTCTTTTTTTAGTTTCACATTCTTTTGTATTCCTTGTTGGAGCCTTGTTGGTCCACCTGTCAGGATGAACCTTTAGGAGATTACAATTTCATTTTGCAGAGTCCAAGAAGCTGACATCCTGTCACAGATGTAGTTAAAAATTCCTGCCTGCCAAATCGACGTATTTCTTTGAACAACACTGAACCCTACCATTGAAAATAATTGTTTCATAGAATTTAAGAAGCCACCAAACTTGAAAAAAAACCATTACTGTGCAAATGACATGCAAGAATGACTCATATAATGCCTTTCCCATACATTTCCTGAGGAGAGTTGCATAGTTGAAAATATGGTGACTTGAAACTTTGTTATATGTATTATAAATTATCTCAGTTATATGTTTACATGGAAATAAGTGGATTTTTTTCCACTCTTACATGTCTCCTGTCCAGTGAGATGACAATGTTTCAGGCTACAAGCTTGTGAACCTCCCTTCCACCAACAGTTTCTTAATTAAAATTCATCTCATATGTTATCCATTTTGTTTTCATGTTTTTCCAGTCACTGTTGGTTACAACTGTCATCATAGGATCCTAAATAACATGTATAATTTAAAAAGCCAGGTCACATAGGTTGACATTGCATTGTTTTTATTTTTACTTGCTTTTTAACTGTAATTTCATTACTTAAATAGGATCCACTCTGTGATTTGCAATGACATCAATTGTTTAGTTGCTGCTTTTCCCTTAGAAGGACAAGTGAAAATGGATTTGCTAACCTTTAAAAATACCTCTGTTACATATCACTGATGTATTCCACTTTATATTTCTAGCTTGCTTTTATAAAAGGATTAGAAGACTTGCATGTAAAATTCTTGCATTTACCAAGGATGACCAAAGCAGTAAAAAGATAATGTTTTTTAATTAAAGCCCCTCAAAAAATTCCTTTCTTTTTTAAATGGCTGTATTGTTAGTTTCATTAGTGATGTAAACAGAATTAATATAATTACATAACAGTACAAGCAACTAAGTGAAATTAATTTTGGTCTTAAAATCTGAACTTGTGTGTTTGGCTTCAGAGTATAAGAAAGATATAAAGTCTATAAATGCTTTGTTAGGATTGTGCTGTGCAGGCATCCTGTGAAGGTTTCTGGCTCTCTAAACAGGCAGAGCGAGATACTATGAAATAGGTTTTGTTATCCATTTTAGTGGGCTGTCTTTTCAAACAAAATATTGCAAACCACCTGTTCTATTCCAGTAAGGCTGTTTACGATAAAGTTAAGTTAAAAGAGTCTTATGTAACATAAAAACTTTTAATGTTTTAAGCTGACACTTCAATTAAAACACGGAGATTATTCTTAAAAAAACCCAAACAAACAAAAAAACCCACCAAAATCCACATATATGAAGGTTATCTGGTTCTCTTTTACTGTTTAATCCCAATTATTGTTATTTTTGGTTCATTTCCAAGGCATATTGAAGCATTGTATCCCCCTGAACTTAATTAGGTTAACATTTCATGTTTGTAGGACAGCTTCTTAGATTTTTTAATAGCTCTTCTGCTAGGTTTCAGTATCTTGTTCTCGTTCCTGACACCTCTGCAATCATATTCCTGTTCTGTGTATTAATTCAATAGTTAACATTCAATAGTGTGATACAGAATCTTTTATTTATGTAGTTATAAGGCTAACAGAGTTTAAAGAAAACATAATTGTGAAATCCGCATGTTCTCATAAAACAGTTCATTTATGTCATGTAGCTTTAAATTCCCATCACGGGAATTACTGTTCCTGAACTTCACCCCTTCATAAGGTTGAAGCAAACATTTGCTGGAACTAAGTATTGTGTACATAAGAGTAGTCTAAGCTTATCTCTAAGGCCTTGTGACCTTTTCAATTTTGCTCTGGGTGTTTCTATAGTAGCTGTTCCCTTTGCCTTTTCGGGTTGTGAGATTTTTTTGTTAGAACAAAATCCTTGCTGAGGACTAATGTGAAATCATAAAAAAGGATTCATTTGGGACTAATTATGTAAAATTAGTTGCAGTAAATTGTATTTTGACCTGAGCCCTCTTTATCATATCTCATGTCTTTGAAAATATTCCTTCATATTCCCCAAGCATTTTTTCATCTTCCTTGTATTTGAGATTGTATTAAAAAAGGATAAGTTTTTGAGCAAATTGTGTGCATAGTAGTAGATGTTGCTGTTACATTCTCTGGTAGACAATTTCAAGACCGAGGCTAACAAATTTGCAAATTAAAGGAAGAAAACCAGGCATGAGAAAATCTGATATCAGCCTGCATGTTTAGGAACCTTCTGTCTTCTCTTTCTTTCTCCAGACAAGAACAAGTGGATCAGCACAAGGTGACATAGCTGTGCTTTTGTAAATACTACATTAGCCTGTATTAACAAAATTATACATCAAATTCAAGAGTTAGAATTAAAGGAGGAAAAATGCTTTCAACATGTACATTCATGGTTGAAAACGGCCAAGTCCTTTTTATCTTCATAGGAACATATAGAGTTAATTATAATTACTGTATTGATTTTTATAAAATTTTTAACTTCATGTCTTATGTACTCCCCAGAATAGTGCCCCGGAATTTAATTTACTAGTCATGAGATGTTTTTAATGTACTTAACAGTATTGGCAAGTGGAACTATCTTATTGCAATTAATATAGCACAATATCATAATGTGATATCCATGCATCATAAAGATTAATAGATTCATGTACGATGATTCAGAGTCAAACTGATTCAGTGATATCATCTGGAAAATAGTTTTGGTTACTAATTTTGAGTAGATAGTCAAATGGAGCTGTGTGCCATTTTCTGTAATTTACAGCAAGAAATGTTTTTTCATGAGCAGTACTTAACAACTCCTTGATTGAAAAGTTTCTTTAATATGGAAAGACATGAAAATGTTGTGGTTCTTTCTCTAGCAGTACATGATGTTTTCTTAGTCTATACAGATTCGCACAAGTTAATAGAAGCAAAAATAAAGGGAAGTTAAAAAATGGGTAGGTAGGTGAAGAAACAGCCCTATATATATCATTGAAGAAGCTTCCCATTAGCTCCTCTGAGAACATGATTAGTATAATTTAAATAATTCACTTTTACTGGAAAAGTGTTTTCCAAATGTTAATAAATTTTGCATATGTCTACACTGCAGCAAGAAGATCTGATAGCTGCCTGCACAGACAAGTTATATTTAAATAATTTATCTGCAATACTGGCAGTAATGTCATCATAGCAGCACATCAGGAAAGCTGTCTTAGATTAGTATTCCACAAATGCTGTTAAATACTCTGCAGGGAAATTTCTGCAGCTGCAACAGAGATGTTAGAAGAATCCAAGGTACATGAAATACAGTCACATCTTAATTTACAGTATAGACATTTATTTGATTTGAAAATTTATATTGCCTCATTCACCCTTATTTTCTATAATGTGAAAACAGTGAAATTATTTCAATGTCATATTTTTGTCATCAATGTACATGAATTGGATAAGCATTGACATGTCCAGATGTTTATTAATTTTAATATTAGCTTGTTTCTGTAAGTCTCGTGCATATTTTCCACATCATTTCTAAGTTCTTGTTACTAAATATACAAAGATTCAAAATAGTCTAAGGCCTTTGGATGGTGACATCAATTTACCCTCATTTCAGCTTGGCAAAACAAAGGGAACCAAGTAGTTAAGAAAGGGAGTAGAAAAAAAGTTTGAATGCTGTCATAAGATTAGGAAAAAAACCCAAGATTTTAAAATCTTTTTCTTTCCTGGTTTCCCTATACTTCATACCATTAATAAATGCATAATTTTTGTGTTTTCAGGGTAGTTTGCTAGTTATTTATGGTTAGTTCAAAAAACTTTTTTGCATTTGAGTGACAAAATTCCCTTGAATAATACTCCAGTGTTTATAACTATGTATCTGTAAAGTTAGAGGGTGAGAGAGGATGCTTGTTAAAATCAAAATAGAACATAGATCCTAAATGAAAAACAGCAAGTTGAAGAATTGGACTTTTTTTCTAGATACTGCAAGTATCTAGAATATATATGAAGTTTATAAAGGTTATAAAATTAATTTAAAAATGCAAATTTAAAATGTAATTTTAAAACTAAAAACTCATGCAGGTTTTTTCTAAATTTTACATACTTTTTTCCTAAGCCTAAGTTATGATACAATGCAATACAATACAATGCAAGTATATTTAAAAGCTAGGTTCTCAGAAAGTACACAAAATAAATCTGAGTCTGTGATTTTAATTTTTCTTGATGCAGGGTACTTTATGACGTAGTTCTAGTTAGATTCTCCTCTTCAAACTCCTCTTTTAATCTTTGTATCTCGTGCACTGAGCTTGTTGTCCTGACTGTTTTGCTTAACAAATCCTGTATATCCCTGCATACTTTTACTTCATGTAAGATACACCTATTGATTTATTCTGTGTTTGCCTACTTATCCAATTCCTGTTTATCAAACTCCTGCTTCTGTATCTAATTTGATATGTCTTCAGGTCCCAATTTTCCTGCCCAATGTCTTCCTATTTTCCATTACTGCACAGATTTTCTTTTTTCTTATTCCCTGTAATTTTGATGTATTTTGTGTTGATCTAGGAAGGCTTCAGTAGTATTTCTCTCAGTCTGGTTCTGGCATAGACTTGTTGGCTGTTGTTTCTTCATGGCAAATGGACTATTTTGTGGAGTTCCTCCAAGTGGAGTTCTTTCAAATATAGATGTGTTCAAGTTATGCTTGTATGTGTGATGTAACACTGTGACCGCAGGTTCCATTCCATCTTAGCTGCATATGAAGGACCTTCATGCGCCCTTTGAGCTGCACATGGGCATAAGAGGGTGGTAGTTATCTTTCCTTCCCTTGTTTTCAGCTCCAATAGGCTAATGAACCCCTTAAGTTTTCATGAGAGTTTTGATTTGCTTGTGTTCTTCTTTGATTTCTTGTGTTACTTCTTTCCCCTTCTCACTTGCAGATTAATTTTGTCCTGATCTCATTTCAATAAAACCCTCCTCAACTCTGCTTTTGGGTCTCTCAGATTTCAAATGCTTATCTGTTCGAATCCTATTTAAGCCTTATGCCTTGATTATATTTTCTTCCTATATCTAAAAAAATCTTCTTTCTTTGTTGTTGACCCTAAACTGATGACTTCCCTTAAACTGATAAAACTAAAACTATATCTGATGTGCTGTGCAAGGTATCTGTTTCTGCTCAGATAGAGCACAAGATGCTTCTGCCGCTTAGAAGAGTCTGAAAAGTACAGCACATATTGCTCCTGCATGTTTAGAACTTGGAAAGAATTACAGCTTTTCTACAACAGTTTCTCTTTGGCAAATTCTTGGTATGAAGACAAAAACTGAAGATCTGTGTAAGTACAAGATGTAAAGAAATCTGTTTCTTGTATTTCTGTAAAGAAACATGAAATGCATCTATATGGGAATTGTGATACTAATAATTCTTCTGTAAGACTTGCAATTATTCCATTTAATTAACCAGCATCTAAATGTCTAAGATTTAAGAAAGGAAATTTTGACTTAGTGGAAGTAATGTTTATTTAACAAAGCTAATTTAAATTCAGTCTAAATTTTTTTGTGACAGTGGCTTTTACCCGCAGGATAACAAAACAGTTCAGTGCTGACTCTGTTGAAGATATCTGGTCATCATTATCCACTAAGTTGGATTTTAAAGAAGCTGACGTAACTTATGAAGGTAAAAATACTTCATAATACTCGGCTGAGGGATAAAAGTTACTTATCCTCTTTTAATATGTGCTTTGCATTTGTAATAGTGGTCGCTTGTTCCCTGCTCCATGTCTTACGTAAATGATGTGAGTATCCTTTGAAATCTGTATGTATCATCTGTCAAGCTGAAAGACACATACATTTTAAATGATATATTAAGTATTATTAAGTCATCCTATTTGCAAGAAGATAATTTACATTTCAGTATTTAGATCCATACTGTATTTTAACCCATCTGGGATTTGAACCAGCTAAACTAGTTATGTTAGTTGTTGAAAATTCTAGAATTATTTTTTTCATTTATTTTCTGTAAAACAAATAACTGCATTGCTGTTCTGGGGTATTTGTAGCATAATCCCAACAAAGAATTCTGTTTTGTACAGTTTGTGTCTTTAGTCACAGTATATGTTTTTTAATTAAGTTTTAAATATTAAAGAGATTATGTGCATTTTTTTTAAACCAGTGTGCAACCTTTTAAGTACTACTAGCCTGAGGCAATCCCATCTGCAGTAAATTGTGTGATAAAATTTTTCTTGACAGTAGTGAGGCCAAAATTTCACTCCAGATTTTAAATGGTTTTCCTTGTTTTCAATGCTTGCAGTTTTAATCAAAATAATTTAGGGAATTATTAACTGGGGAATCAAAACAGAAATATCTTGGACTCTAGCTGATATAACTCCCATTTTTTATAGATGAGGACAATGGATGATGACCTGAAAGAATCTTTTATCAAAAAAACCCCAACAAAACAAAACAAAATGAAACAAACTAAAAACCAAACCAACCAACAAAAAAAACCCCAAAACAAAAAAAAAAAAAACAGGCATTTTTGATGGCCATATTTCACAGAATGGAGTGATGATTTTGTTTATCACAAGCAAAACAGTGCTGTTGACATATTATACTGAATGTTTGTCAGTCTCCAAAGACTTTAGTGAAGTAATCGAAATTAAATAAGTATTCTTGAAAAAATTGAAACAGTTAGGAACTTGTACTGTTATTTGGATGATTACTTACCCAAGCAAAGAGGCAAAGATGAAAATTTTGTGCTATGTATATTAATACATTTTTGTTGCATTTTGCACAGGAAATAAGCTGGAGGAAAATGCTACTGAAAGATAACATAACTGAAAGTTATGTTTGTAACCAGTTGTGCTTGCCTTGATAGAGGTGAAGAAAGAAGTTGGAATTAAGAGTGTGTGTTTAAGCCTTCATAAGGAACAATTATAATGTATTTTTAAGGACAGAAATTTAGCCAGTTGTGCTTGCTATGAACAGGCCAACTTGGTGTTGAGAATGTGGTTCGACTAAAGAGCATATGATTAAGCTTTCATAAAAAATATTTTTAATGTATTTTTAAAGATGGCAAAGACGTTAACTTTGAAGCAGGAAACAGAAGCTTTGCTATTGGAAGTTACTGAGCTAATTAAGCAGCTGGAGGCTGATAGTGAGGAGGGAGAAAAAGCTTTGGAGTTGAAGAAATAGCGAAGGAAAAAGCTCGGCATGAAAATTGATTGTATGTCACTTTGGAGGCTTCAGCAACTCCTCGCAGATGTGCAAAAAGGTATTAGTATTGAAACTAAGAATATTTGTTATTTTTCAGTAAATTCATTACTGAGAGTAAAAATTATGATGTGACTACAGTTGTGTTTACTGTAACAGGAGTACAATATTTACTCTTCTGAATTTGGTATACTTGAATAAATATCTGGAAAAAAAAAAGGGACATCTGAGAAATAACATAAGTGTAAAGAAGACACTTGAGATGATAATAAATACTATGTTTGGGGCAAGAAATAAGAAGCCAAAACATAATTCTAAAAAAATGCATTTGAATTACATTACAGATTAAAACAGAAATAAATAAATAATTTGTTTTGAGAAAAATTAAGCCATGATAAATTTGAACAAAGTACTTATTTATTTGATAGAAATTGACATAACCATTGATAGGTATCCTTGAAATCCCAGATTCTGGGGATGTTTACTATTACCTTTTGTGATGAACAGGCATCCACATTAAAGAAAAAAAAAGGGGTGGGAAGGGGAAAGGATCTACTTAGCAGTTTGCTGTTTGTGTTCTGGCTCATGGGCAAAAGCAGGTACTGTCTGAACTTAGGCTCGTAGAAAAGCAGTGTAATTTATCACAGTAAGTTCCCGAATATAAAATCACGGTTGTACTCTAGTGCATATTCTGATGCATATCACCCTGAGATTTTTGACAAATATCTCACAGTCCAGAGTGTGGTGGCAGTGCAAGAGTCTCCCAAAACTATGTTTACTGATGGGTAAACATTAAGTGAAGATCAGTGTATAATGAAGGCAAGACAGTCCCAAATGCTTCCTCCCCCGTCCACAAAGGTGAAATGTCAGATAGTGCACGTCCTTAACAATATATGACAAAAATTTTTGTTTGTTTGTTTGTTTGTTTGTTTTAGCCATTGTCTAACTCTTGACTTGGAAATTAGAAACCTGTGTTAAGGTACTACCAGTTTGCAGAGATTGCTTTTCTTAAAAGCAATTGCCTCATAAGAACTATTTAAGATGCCTTAAAAAGAGAGGAGGACATTGAATAAAGAATCAGAACTAAAAATCATTGACAGGATAGAAAATGCTTTCATGAGCAAATCCTGTGGCAACTGAAAGGTCAGTTTTACAGAAGTAAAGAAATGCAGTAAGAGAAGGTTGATAATATAAGCTTCATTCTTCAGCACAGTAGCTCAGGATTTTTGCTGCAGAGGTGTTACTTTTTACTTTTGATGTTCCTACCTACAGCGAATGCAGCTGTAAATAATCTCTCTGTGTTGCTACGCATTTCTGTTTCTTTACTGTTTAGCATTTTCTATAAATATCAAAAGTTTAGAATAGTAGAATATAATTAGCACATTTTCAGTTCTGTTAATATAAGCAATGATACAGTATTATTTTAAATTTTTTAAAGCAAAGTAAAGCAGCATGAAATTTGGCTGTGAAAATTGACCAGTTTTTTCTCCCTTGATTTATCAGTGGGCTATATCAGTATGGTGTCATGTCCTTGAAGTAAATTTGTAATTTTCAGGATTATAACATTTCACAGTATTATTCATAAGACAAAAAATATGCTAACGTGGATTTGAGGATAAAGAGAAAAGACCCTCAGGGATGTTATAATTATCCATAATCTAAGTATTACAAACCCAGGAGATTAATTAAGAGTTTGCGTGACCTATTCAGAGTAGACACTGAATCCTGTTATTTCTTCAGACTTACCTTGATTTCCATTGTTACTAACTCCTGCTGTATCTGTGTCCTGTAGCACACTCGCGTAATTACAGTGATGTAACCTATCTTCAGAAATTACCTTCTCTGAAGTAGAACAAAAGTTCAGTGTAAACCATATTTTATTCATCTTAATGTTCAATATCACTTTGTACGATGCAGAGAAGCCACTTGTTCATGTAATGTCTTTCTAACTTTTAGTAGAAAATTACAATTTGGCAAATTTGTGATTTATGTCTTGTTAACACAGCAAAATTTATCAACTGTTAAGGGACTGCACTGAATATTCTACAGCTACTTTCAGAAGTAAAGTATTTTTTACATCAGTAAAATATGCTTCTCTCTTTCAAAATTATGGCCAAGTACACTTCTCTTGAGATGTTATCTGATTTTTTTCTCATCTGATAATTTTACTTTACTTTTCCTAGTTTCATACCAATAAATTTTCCATCAGCTGCTGCATAACACCATCTCTAATAAGCTTTTTTATTTCTAAGCAAGACAAGATATATGTTGTTATTCAGCAACCAGTGGTCTAGTCACATATTTTCTTGTAAAGACCCATTGGAAATTTATACTGAAGTCAGAAAATTAAATGCAGCAAACTGAATTAAGACTGACATGCTTCTGTGTGGCAACATGAATATGTTTTGTTTGTTGGCTTTGAGTTTGTATCCTTAGTTTATCTTTTTTGAAACCACGTTTAGTTCACGAAGTGTCCCTGAACTGAAAACAGTTTTCTTATTAAAAGGTTGTGGGATCTATACTTGCCCTGTTCTTCCTGTGCATCAACATATGTCATACATCAACATAGCTGGAGGCTAGGAAGCTTGGTAAAGCTGTTCTTGTGTCATAATAGCCTCCTCTAGATATGCCTTAAGGCTAGATGTTTTCATTTCCTTCTTAAACCAAAACCACCCCTGGCTTTGAACATTTGTTTGATATACATACTAGGATAATTAAGTATGAGTTTATAAAACAGTTCCAATCCTAATGCAATATTTGGTGATCTTTTGTAACCAATGTCCTTTTTCGGCCTTCAAAGTAGTCCACAGTTTCAGCATTATGACAACATATTTCCTAATCTCACTAGGTATTTATGTTGTCATTCAGATACTCACATTTTGTTGTGCTAATTACCTTTTTAATGGGATATGAAATGTGTGTTCAAGATATCTTGGAGCTATGATGGCATTTTCATAGTAAAAGCTGTCAGCTGCCACAGGTACAAAACCAAATACTTAAGAAACAGCCAACTGAGAGATGCGGGAGAATATAGACTCCATGAAGAAACACAGCCCTCTGCTGGAAGAAAAGCTGAATCTAAAGGGTGAAACTGTGAAGGATATGTTACTGGTGTATGAAAAGGTAAATACAAATCATATGAGCATGTTTCTTTTAGAACCTTTCCACTACATAGCCGCATAACCTTTCAGAAAACAGCAGTCTTTTCGAAGTATCAAAGTCTGTTATAAATTTAACATGCAAAGACTGTGGACTGTGTGCCCGTAACACTACATACAGGCACTCAGTGCAGACAGAATCTGGGGAGCATAATGCTCTTGGCCTTTAATAAATGTCTCTTAAGCATACATGGAATGTAATGCTAACTTTATAAGTTGACTTCATGGAGGATTTTTCATGGGAAAGATAGGAGACACATCTGATATTTGCATAGATTCTGCTCACATTTCTCGCAGACATCTGTGTTTCAGAATATGGAGATGTCAAAAAAAGTTAGCAATTATTCTTAGCTACTCATGTACATTTTTCCTAATTGATTTGTTTATGGTATTTAATGATTGTAATATTAATAATAATATATTATTTTTGATAATAAATGCTAATGTGGATTATGCCAGTCTAAATAATCAAAGTGAAGCAAATTTCCATGTAGCTTAAAACTGATTTCTGAAACTGGAGGGATAATGTTTTTCTTCAAGTTCAAATGTTAGTGATAATTATTATGTTTTCTATATATTTTCTATGTAACAAATCTAGAGTGTTGTATCTTTTTCAAGATATTTACAGTTTAAAATGGTCTCTTTTTTTGTAGGCAATTCATAATATTTTTTCTTTTAATTTGTTTTATTTTCAATTCATATTTGGATAACTCCACAGTCATGTCAAAACATTTCTAAAATGAAAAAGTTAATTGCCTATTACACAAATAATATGAGAAATATCAAGAATTAGTTCTATCCTATGAAACAGTTCACAGTTCTATCAGTGCTATGAGATATGTTTGAAATACTAATTAAAAATCAAATTGATAACTTTTTTAATTTTATATCCTTTTTTCTTGTTAATGCCTTAAAATATATTATATGCAGTTCAAATATTGAGACGTACTAAAATACAGCTCCATAAGTAGACTTAAAATATTTTTTCCAAAGACTCTTTTGAATACCTACTTTTTTTCAGAGCAGTTTTTTCTGCATATGATAAGAAGATAGACTTGGTGTTACTGTATTTATATGTATTTATTTAAGACTATTTATATATTTGTGTTTATCTTATTCATATATTTAATTTCCACAGAATTTCTAATTGTCAAGTAAATTATCTGTGGCTTTTATTGTGCTGCAATTTATGTAGTTAGTTACTCAGATTTGGGTTTTCTTCCCACAGCCTTAAAAAAGCAGCTGATACTTAGTTTTCTTTGCAATTAAAACAATTCTGTAATATTCAGTCTCTTTTTTAATATCCAGAGAACTAGTTTGAGCAGTGAGGTGCTAGATTATAATAAAGATTTTATATGATTTTATCTATTTGTATTTGTAATATTTTAAAAAGCAGAGACAACAGACATGCATATCTCTATTTGAGAGTTGTTACAGAGTGTCCCAATACTATTAAAAATATTGAAAATTGCAGTCATTGTCAGCGTTGTCTCAGGCTCCTTCTTTACAAAGGTGACTGCCAGGCTTGCACAGCCTCTGTTACATGTTTCAATTATGATTTTGTCAGATTGCTGACTGAAACCTCAGTGGCTTCTTTGCACATTATTTCTTTCTTTCTGCTCCAGAGGTCACTAGCTTCCCATGAAAGTAGCCACCTTTTCAAAAGAACTCCAAAGTTTTGTAACAGAATGAAAACCCTCTTGCTAACATTTCATTATATTACGAAATTTTGCAACACATTCTGTTGTTTTTCCTGGGATTTCATCTTTAAACATCATTTTTTAAACTGCCAAGAATCAGTCAGATCTTGAAATTATATTTTCTTTTAAACATTATGTATGATTTTTATATAACATCTTTCAGAAAACTTGTTTTATTTTCTTAGGCATCAAAAATATACAGTGATGTTCATTGGGAACTCATTGGAAAAACCTTTGCAGGTTTTTCCAAAACTTGGCATGGTAATTATGGAGTATATAAATCTCATATAAGTCATGAAATTTGGTCCATCTTATTCATTCAGAACTACTGGGGTTCACTAGGAATTTATATGCCAGTTTCATAATTCAAGTTGCGCTATGCGCTACCTGAGTTGGGTCAGCATGCCCTGTTCTGATATTCCAGAGAGTTAATGTTATAAAGTGCCTCATATACAGTAGTGGCTAAAAACCTGTCCTGCTCACTGATGCTTCATTTAAGGAAGTAAGACTAATGCTAATGGTTGAGTTGTACGTGCAAACTTGTGTCCTTTGTAACCTCATTTCAGTAAATGTTAATTTCTCATCCATTTCAAGGGACTGTCCCATGTAACTCCTATTCCCTGTTTCTTCTAAAGGATCATTTTCATTCAAATTCACTACAGAGTTGGCCTCATTAGTTTACCTAAGAGCTGTAAAGGAGCAATTACAGAGCTGAAGAAAAGATTCTTGTTACTGAATATCTTATTTTTTTAAGAAATGAGGACTTTAGAAAGGTATCTGTTATCTGAAGATCCATTTATCTTCTCAGGTTAGTGCCATGCCTCTTCAAAATGAAGACACTGCAATTCTATTGCTGCAGGATGTCTGTTTCCCTACACTGATCAACTCAGCTCACATGAAGTACTGTGAACACAATATACTCCCTGATCATTTGTAGAGGAGAATTATGTTTATTGGATAAACAGTGGAATTTCATAAAGTTCTTGGCAACAGCATTATATTCCTCCAAGAGATGGGCCATCTGTGTCTGCTAGACAATTGGGTGATTCTAGAACACTGTGACACTCTTTATGCTTCCAAATGTGACTGTGAACTACAAGAGCTACTCTTACCACCAGCACAGGTGGAATACCTGTAAAAGCTGTTATTCACTTCTGCTCACTGGATGCCTGTTTGCCAAAGATGATTCTCGTCTGCATGTATCTAAGAATCTTATGCCACATATCAACCCATCTTTGCCAAGAAAACATTGAACTCTAGAAGTTGTTACTGTCAGAAATAAATGTGGTCATTTTTGTTGAGTACAGGCCAGCAGCATGCTTGCCAGACTTTCTAAAAATTCAGAAAGTAAGCAGCATGAATAATTTATTGTCGTGGTTTAACCCCACTAGGCAGCTGAGCCCCACACAGCCACTCGCTCACTTCCTCTGAGCCAGGATGGTGTGGAGAAGCAGAAGGGTAAAAATGAAAAAACTCATGGGTTGAAATAAATACAGTTTAATAGAAAAAACAAAAGCCACAAAGACAAGCAGAGCAAAACAAGGAATTCTTTCATCACTGGCAGGCAGGTGTTCTGTCGTCTCCACGAAAGCCAAGCTCCATCACATCTGAGCATATGCTATGGAATATTCCTTTGGTCAGTTGAGGGTCAGCTGTCCAAGCTCTGTCCCCTCCTAACTCCTTGTGCCATCCAGCCTGCTTGCTGATGGGTTGAGGTGCAGAAAAGGCCTTTAATCTGTGTAAATGCTGCTAACATTCCTGCATTATCAACACTGTTTCCAGCACAAACCCAAAACATAGCATCATACAAGCTACTATGAAGAAAATTAATTGTATCACAGCCAAAACCAGTATACTTATACACAGCCCATTGTAATTCCTGCATTCAGTCAGTGAAATACCTTTTGTAAGCTTGTCTACCATGAAGGCCAGTACCAAATCGTCAAATAACTGAGTAGCTGAGAGAGCTTAGGGTACTGTGAGTTACCCTTTTATTTGATGTACCAAATAGGAAGAATTGTTATACTATTTAACCTGTATGTCAACTGCATTTGTAATATATGGTGGAATAAAACAAGACACGCAGTAGAATTTGGGGGTGTCTTGGCCCCCTCCATGAATGGACCCACTCTCAGAGGGGCATAAAGAAGAGGTCATAGTGGCTGGAGACATTTTCTCTTGGTTTTAAATTTTCTTTTAAGTTCTTTCTTCAAGAAATAACTGTAATTACTAAATGTGATTGTTTTGCTTACCGTTTATGGTGCTCAATATGCCATAGTAAAGAGCTGCAGCTGATTAAAATGAGGGAGTTAGTTGTATCATTTCCAGTTTCTTTAGATTATAACATGTTGGCAACTATATTTCAAAAACTGATTAGTGTTCAGGAACTTGAAACACCTTTTTCAGTCCCACAGAAGGAGTACTTGCTGCCTGCCTCAGAATCTTGACAATTGGTAAGCCTTGAAACACAAAGTAACACTGACTTTTCCAAAACAGAGTCTTACAATGTATTTTGTGGTAACTATCAACATCAGGAAATCATTACTTTGGCTAATATGACTGCTCCTTTTGATGTCTGCTATCCAGGGAGATCTGTGCTTGACAACCAGAGCAGAATTGTTACTGACATATTCCTGAACAAAGGAAGGTTGTTTAGAAGCAATAATCCTGCTTCTTTAAGATGTCACATCACTGTGGATCTCTTTGTCATTGGCACTAAACAGCAGAACTAAAGAAGGATCATACCTCTTTCTGTAATATGTTCGTACTTTAATATGTGAGCAGGAGGCATCTTGGGTAACATGCATTTACTCAAATGATGTTGCTGCTGGAGAACTTCCAGTCTTGCACCCATAAGATGTCTATGCACTTGTAATACCATCCAAACTGGCTATGTCTCAGAAAGGATGAGTCAGTGTAGGATTAAAAATTGTATTTTTCTGTAAGAGGGATAGCTTAGCAATACTAGAGAACTAAGTGTGTCTCTCTGACTTGTTTCTTTTGTCACCATGTCTGAATTTTTCCTTTATTTTATTTTATTTTTTTTGATTCTAAGTTTTACAGTGAATTTCTTGGTTTTTATTGAGTTCAGGATAATTTTGGCATTAATATTATGCTAATTATGCTAATTATATTTTTTTAACCTCCAAGGTAGATTCACAGTCAATACATTTATTTTTAGTTACTAAAGCTTAACCTCTTAATTTCAGAGCTTAATTTTCATTCAGGAAAGAATATTAGTATATGAAAAATTAAAATTGTAGTCAGATATATAGCTAAATTGGAAGTATTTTATTATACGAACCCCGAAACCAGAATTTTGCATAACACTTGTCAAAGCTGAAGTGACTTCTGAAAATAATTCTCCAATTAATGTCACTATGTATGTCTAAACAAAAGAAGAGGTGTGTGAAATAATACATTTTTTATGTATATGAGCCTGTGAATACAAGCTTCACAACGTCTCCACAATGTTTGGAATTTTAATTATAGCTTAAATAGGTATATAGAGGTGATCTGATCAAATACTCATCATCTCCTCTGTGGATTCCAGCTGAGAGAAATCAGACAGCATGGACCTTGATTCAGTAACTTGTTAAGTTCATTGCAAACCTCATGTTGATTTTAATTATGGGAAAGATCAGGTACTAAGAAGTATTACCAAAAATGTTGTGTGATTTATTACTATATATTCAGATACTCAACGAGTCAGTTTAGTGTTTCACTGGCATATTCAATGTTCTATCAACTCATCTGAATTAGAAGATGCTGGCGAAAGTTGTTAGCAGTGGTTATAGTGACATTGCTGGAGGTGATTTTCTCATGTAATACTGAAATAAAAGTTGTTAAAAGTATACTTTCTTTTCTAATTTTTCTTTCCTTTTTTTTTTTTTTTAACCATTCCACCCTATACCTATGATTAAACTTTTTCCTTGTCAAATCGTGTTTACAGAGTGTGATCAACAGCTATGTGGTTTTGTCCTTTTGTAAGCAAATTGCTGTAGCTTGGGAGTCTAAGTCTTAAGATGTATGCAATGATAAATATTGCTGTGTATTATTAACCTTCTTCACTAGGCTATATTCTCCTCTACTTAGGACTTTGTTCATTCTTCCTTTCTTTTTTTTAAAGCAACTTTCATTATTTTCAATGTGCTTTCAGAAGACCTCTGTATTTTATGGCCTTTTCATGATGTCCTCTGATTTCTTTTCATTACTGTGATATAATTCTCTGAAATGGGTTGAAAGGTAATGCAAACACTATTCCAAATTAAGTCATGTCACTGACTTAAAGAAGAACATAGTCTCATTTTTTTTCTAATGTTTACATCCCATTTCTTACTTAATTTAACCTTTTTAGCTTCTTTAACTTCACTAAATATTGACTAGACCTTCTGCCTGTTTGTGGAAATATATACATGGTTTTCTTAATTTAGAACTTTAAAATGTACTTAATTTCTCTGATCTTTTACTTCTTTTTGAGTTTGGACACTAAATGGTATGTACTCTTTTGTTACCCATTTACTTAGTTTGCCTTGAAATTTTTCTTAAGTTTTTTAGTTTGGTTTGGCCTTGCCTATTGTAATCACATTATATGCAGAATTTTAGTTTAACTGCTTGTTGCCCTTTCACATAATTAGTAAATATATCAAAGCAACAGATATGGGACTGAGATACCATGCTGTTGACCTATTCTTTCAATGAAAATTGATCATTTAATCTTACTTCTGCATTTTTATTGATATTAGAATTTTTCATCTTGCCTTCTGACTATCTCACTTTTTAAAAGTTTTTTGTGCAAGATTTTGTTCAGTTCCCTGTAGAATTCTGTCACTGTGTCACAGCCGTCAGCTTGCTTAGCAGTTATAGGGCAATGTGGGCAGTTTTTCTGTTTTGTTTTGGTAGTCTTGGTGCAAATCAAGGCTCTAGAGATTGTTTCATGTGCAAGAAAGAAAGTGTGGTATTCTCCTGTAACAAGCCTTTGTTCTGAGGTGCATTAAAATTTCTTTGTTCTTTTGTTCTTTTGAAAGAAGTCATAGGGTAAGTAAAATACCCATGATAATGGCAATAGGTAAATAATACCAGAAATTAATCATCTATACTGACAGAAATATACCATATATATTTTCTGTTTCACCTAGTTGTGTGATTTCCTATTCATACCCCATGAAAGTGATGTAGACTGCACCTTGCAACTTATTTTGTGTGACTGTGAATTTAACTAAAAGTGCTAATGACAAGGATGTTTTTAGGAATACCAGCATTTTGGGCAAAAAGTAGAAAACTGTTCTTTCTATACCTTAGTGAAAAAAATTATTATTTTTTTCTTACTGTGTCTGTTATTTTTTTTTCCAGCTATTTGCTAGACTGGTAGTTAAAATCATGCTTGCATTACAGAGAAAGTAGACCTTTCAGCTGCCATCTGAGGAGGACTAGAATAACATGTGGTATCGATAGGTGTGAGAAAGACAGATATGTGGTGGCACAGACTTGAAAGACTGTTCTGCAGTTCATACTCTTTTCTTTATGTTCAGTGCCATCACTGAGAAAATGATGAAGATTGCACAAAACTGAAAATACTAAGGCTGTTGTACATCATATAGCACAGGCTGTTACTTTTACACATACACATTGTGGCTGATAGTGCTGTAATTTTTCATGAGAAAACTACAAATCAGAAAGTTGCTAAAAATATATTCTCTGACACTTCTCAAGGTAAGTTGTTACTTCACTAGATGAAACCTTGGAAGCAAGTTGAGGAAGAAGGTCTATAAAATAATCTTGTAGGAACGGCTCTTGAATTAGTGATGAAGCCTCTTTATTTTTGTTTTCTGTTTTCTGAACTGCATCTAAGTATGCAACACTTCTTCAGGATTTTTTGGGTTGCAATGCAATAGATGTCTGTAAAACTCAACTACTATTGGTCTTAGTTCTGCTGTGGTGGATTTATTCTGCCATTTAAGGCACACTTTTGTGTATGTTATTGACCAGGATAGTTCTCTGGGGAGCATGCAGGGAATTTTTTTTCTGCCTGCTGAAGCAATAATAAAAATAAGGCACAAACACCAGCAGCCATTTAAAAATTTTAACCTGATATCCCTCTATTTCTTTTGCCTTTTGCCAAATCAATTCCCATACACAGACATAACAAAAGGCCTTTTTTCAAACTATAATAAGGCCTAAATGTGTCACGTGGGAGTGCTTTCCTGAAGTTATTATTATCTTGTTCTGTAATTATGGCAAGTTTTACTTCTTACAATGCTGTTAAATCTGCTATTTAGAGTGAAAGTCCTTGTCCCCTCCTTTGACACTGCCTACAAGTTCCTTTTAACATGAAAAATTGATGTCAGTAAAAAATTTACCTCACAAATGACATTTGTCCACAAAATTACAGTGAAGTGGGTTGATTAAGTGAAGATGGTTCTGAAGTAGATACAGCCACTAGCAGAGTGTTGTCTCTTACTTTGTTTCGTAAACATGTGAGATATGAAACAAAGCCTTGTGTTTAGCTACACCAACACCTGCACAAAGATCCAATGTTGGCAGGCTGTTTAAGTGTAAGTGAACTGGTAGCATGAGTAGTTCTGATATCTGGCTGAAATTGCATGAACTTGCTGGGGTAAATATTTTGAAATTCTCTCATGCTTACCTGTTCAAGAAACATAGTAGAGAATCAAAATAAATCTTTACTAATTCAGATCTGATTTACATTTTCCTTTATGGAAAGGGACTACCTTGGAATATTTCCAAATAGATGGATTCACTTTGTGTGTATTTCTATTAGGAATGAGTTAAAGCATTCTGAATTTATTTGGACCGAATACTGTATGAAGTTAAAAGAAACAGAGGCGAAGATTATAAAGGATGAAAAACACCTTGAGGAGTTAGTGAAGCAAAAAGCAGAAATCCAGGAAGATGCAAAATGTTGGAACAGCAAAGTGAGTCTTGAATATTTATAAACAAGCAAGTAAATGAGTATCTTTTATTGAAAAGTACATGAATGCCTGAATATTTTGTATTTTTAAAGTTAAGGTCCTCTGTAAAAGTAAAAATACAAATATGGATTTAAAAATAAGAAGTAATAGATTCTATAGAACTCTCTTGTTCACTATTTTGTTTTAGTGTTATTTTTCAGCTTTAATTATTAAAAATATCATAAGCATCTTACATTCCTGTAAGTGGCTTGGATATTTTTAGTCATCGGATGCATATCTGCTTAATATTGCTTATCTTCTAAAATCATCTGGAAGAAAGTGTGCATTTAGTGGGACAGTGTAAATGTCCTCTGGAATTATCAGATTTTTTGACCTGAGATGGCATGTGATACACTTTTACAGCATGCATAGTGATACCCTATTTTACTTAAAATTCCTGTGTTTTCTGCTATATTAGTTTAGAATTCACTTTGCAATTTTGTACTTTGCAGTCTAAAATCCAGAGTTCCTCACACTGCCTGACTGATTTTCAGTTAATTGACAGCTCCATATGTGGAACCAATAGAAAATGCCTAGAACAGGACTTAGATGGCCACAACAAAACCTGTTTTTTTTTTCTGTATGTATGTATATGTAAACAAGTGTAAATAAAATATGAAAGCCTTTCTCTTCTATATGCCCAGTACCATTGTGGCTTGTGCATCTAGATAGCTATGTCTTGCCAAGGCTCCAGTGGAATCCAGAATACAGATGGAGGATTTCTGAGAAGCTGAATGTACCAAACAAGCCCAGATCTTAATAAAAAAAAAACAAAATACCAAGGCAATCCCCTTTCAAAAATAAAGATATGGTCATATTACAGCCACCAATGGGCATGTTCTTGTCATTTTTTTCCAGCTGTGTATTACAGTTTTCTTCCTGTTACTGATGCCAGCAATTGCTACCAACTGATATATAGAACACAACTACATTCAAATAGAACCAATACTTATTAGTAAACCTTTTTTTCCTTTTGTTTTTCTTTCTTCATATGTTTCCAGCTGAGTTAGATGATCTGATATATTTCAGCATATACTAACTGGGTATTAAGACCAACGCAAGAGAGAGACATGCACAACAGGGATAAGGCGGAGCATGAAACTGCTCCTTTAGGTGGCCACCTTAGTTTATGCTAAAAGGTGAACCACACTTAAATTTAGCATCAAGCTGATTTGCCATTGTCGATTTTCTTCAAAAACATAGTTAAACCAATGAACTGAGTAAACATTTATAAATAATAGTGATATTCAGAAAGCTCAAAGTGATTCTTCTGATCATCATAGAAAAGTTGCTGAAGTAATGGAGTTATTTTAGGAATCGGGAAAATATTGGGTTTATTTATTAGTCACTTTAGTGGGGTTTAAATTGGATCCAAATTACAACATGACCATTGTCACATACAGTAATAAGTTTGAAGACAGAATGAGTGGTGTGAACTAATATTTTTCAACATTTTTTTCCTTGCTCTTCTTTCTTGTTTTAATTCATGCTGTTTTTTAAATTTTATATATATATTTTAAATTTTATATATATAGTAGTGTTTCAACTTTTGATACTGTAAGGACAACTCTGAGTTTTCTTTTTATCATGTTACTCAGATTTACATTACAAAAGATATCTGTATGCATTAAATCTATTTTCTGTATCTACATGGGCTTTGCTTTTCAAAGATTAGAAGAAACCCTTATAAAATGGATCTCATACTTAACTATTAATCCTTTATTCTTTTGTCTTCATTAATTACCTGCACAGTGTGACAGTGTTTCAAGTCATTCCTGTCAAAATGTTTGCTCTAAAAACATTGGAAGAGTGAAAAACATTTCTGAATAATGTTTTTCCTATGTACTAGCAATTTAAAAACTGGGACATTTTGCTCATACTTAATCAGTTGTGGCTTTCTCCTCTGTAGATGTAGCTAGTTTCTCCTTGTCTTTCTCACACTTCCCCTGAAGTGTATTTTGAATCAGAATCATAGAATGGTTTGGGTTGGAAGGGACCTTAAGATTCATCTAGGTCCAACCCCTTGCCTTTGGCAGGGACACCTTTCACTAGTCCAGGTTGCTCAAAGCCCCATCCAACCTGGCCTTGGGCACTGCCAGGGTTGGAGCATTATATTTCTTAGAGTATTTTGCATATTGAGAGCCTTAATAATTTGCTTTTTTATCTCCTTTTTCTAGACTAGTAAAGGTGCTTTGTTGCAGTTTTTTCTCACAGATCATGTTTTATAATCCCTAACCATTCAGGTTAGGACTTTCAATCCCCAACCAGTTAGGAAGGTACAGCCATACAAGGACAGTTGGCAGAATCCTGGAGGAGTCCAACAGAGCTGTGACATTCTGGTCAAGATAACAAGACAAAGCCTGTACTGTTTCCCTCCTTAGCTGATGGGACTTAATCACAAATATTCCTATGTAAATCTGTTCTTCATCGTATGCTTTAGGTAACAGTAGGAAACTCTATAACATTTAAAGTACTTGTGTACCAGTTCTGGACTGATCCTTCCACATGTACTCTCTAAGACCGTTACCAACCTTCATATTGCTAGACTGAACAAAATATTTGCTGTCTGAGCATATTCCAGTTAGACTCTTATCACTGCGTGAGTGTTGTCATGGTTTGAGATTGGCCCCCCCTCGAGAGAGGGGGACTCAGAGGTGATTGGGTGCCAGGGCAGTGTTCCCTGAAGAGCCAATTACCACTCATGTTGTTCGCTTCTGCTCAAAAATCATATATACACAACCCACTGGAAACTGTTGGCAAGAGTTCTGCTGTTGGTGTCTGCTGCGTGTAGGTGTGGAAAGCCAGGGGGTGGCTGGGCTCCCTCTCTCCCCTCCGGGGGGGGAGAGGGGAGCCCTGCGACCCCCCAGCTCTGCCTAGCCCAGAGCAGAGTTAGAGGCAGCATTTTGAGTGTGTGCAGTGAGGGAAGAGACTCACAGCCACCTGAACCTGACTTGAGGTAAGAGAAGAGAGCCAGGCTTTTGCAGCCAAACCTCTTCCCCCTCCTTTTCTACAGCTAAGCTGTGGAGGGGGGCTTTCTGTCCCTCCACTGTAAGTGGAGGAGAGGCTCAGCATTGAAGCTGAGCCAAGTGGACGGGCCGTGGAGGTAGGCCCGGCGCTCTGGAGAAAGAGTCCCAAGCGAAATTGGAGATGGACCCCACCCAGAGAGAGAGAGAGAGAGAGAGAGAGAGAGAGAGAGAGGGGAACCCGGAGGATGTCTCTGCCACGCAGGACAACCGAAAACCTGAAGAGAAATCCACATGCCAGGACGTGGACACTTGATAAGCAGAACCACACTGCAGCAGCCTACGAACCAAGGTATGAGAGGGAGAGAAATCACACAGCAGCAGGAGAGCAAGGACTCAGAGCTATCTTCTTGGACTTTGTGAGGAAGAAAGGACTTCAACAAACAACTAGAACTTGGTGAGGGGCCAGGACACTCCCACAGAGGGACTGGTTACTTTCCAGCCTTGAAAAGATTCTTTCCTGGACTAAACTTAAAGGAGGGGTTTGAAAGGACTGATTGATAGAGATGTAATATATATATAGTTGTCTTTAGCTTGTATAGTATTTATTTGTGTAAATAAATGTATATACTTCCCCTTCCCCTATAGAAGCCTCTGGCCTGAAAGTTTCTCTTTGGTGTTGGCATAAATTGTGGGAGGGGGTGGAGAAGCCTGAAAATTGGATTTTTTAGATTTCTAATGTAGCTCAAACTGCCACAGTGTGAATTGCATAGGTAAGTTTTGCAAGGATAGCAATGTTGTTTCAACCTCTGCAGAGGAAAGAGAGGTGAGGGAAGCAAAGTTCATTAGCCTGAATGTAAGCAACTATGCCTTTATCTATCTAAAGTCACTTTAGATGGTTTCCTTATCTTGTAGATGGTTCCTGCCCTACCATCCTCATTTTTCCTTAAGCTACAGTGATTGATCCAGAGTAGTTGTGGATTCTTCATCCCTGGCTGTGTTCAAGGCCAGACTCGATGGGGCCCTGAGAAATCTGGTCTAGTGGAAGGTGTTCCTTCCTGTGGCAGAGGTGGTTAGAACTAGGTGATCTTTAAGGTCCCTTCCAACCCAAATCATTCTGTGATAGTATGAATCTCTGCAGGATTCTATGAAGTAAGAAAGATATTGAGATATTAAGGAAAACTTTGGGCTGAGAGAAACTTAAGGTATTCTACTTCTTTATACCACATAAGTCATGTATGAATTAGCAGGCTGTGAGTGTGTACTTTTAATTACAAAATATTTTCTAGATAGAATATGTGGATAGTAAAATAGCAGCCCAAGGAGATGAGAGTGTAAAAATATTGGATGCTATTTCTAAGATTATAAAAACTGTGGAAGAATTAGTAGTTTTTTTATTGTTTTTATATAAATGAGGTAAAAATGCTTGCATACTTGAATCTTCTGTGCTGACCTGAAATAATTTCAACTTATGATAAAGGTGTCTTAAAGTTTTAATGTTCATTAGAAATCCACCAAGGAAAGTGATCTACTGAATATAAAGCAAAAGATTCTGAATAATAATGAAGCACTGGAGAGTTTTGAAATGTAAACATTAAGAACTTGAGAGAGAAATTGAAGAGTTTTTGAAAAAAATCATAAATAGGTAATGCCTGCAAGATAAATTTAGGAAGCAAGCTTTATTTTTTCACTGCAAACATACCTATAAAAGTGAACCTTAATTTTATTTTAAGTCTGTCTGTAATATTATATTTCATTAATTTCAAATTGCTCCAGGCTGAAATTTTTCTGATCCAACTTTTCTGATTTTTACTTTAAAAAAAATAGCTAAAATTATGCAAAAGACAAAATACATACAATGAGGAAGATTCTGAAATTCTTTTTTTGTTAACAGAAACCTCAGTCCCAAAACCATTTTGGTAAAAGCTTTTATGATTTGTTTTCATATATGATATTTATTAATATAAACTCTGAAATACTGTTTTTCTCTATTTTTTTGAATTCTTGTAAGATACTATGCACACATATTTTGTAACTCTTCATTTTATTGATTCCAAATAGCTACACTTTAAATTATACTGTACATAATATTCTCAGTGCATTTGTAATATAACTGAAAAAACCTCCCATTTTTTAGTTTCTTCTGCCTTTGGACACTAGGTATATGCTGGTTTTATGTAGCTGACAGGTTATCTTCTTTATCCTCCCAGAAACTTTGGTTTTTATTGTCTGGTTTCAGTAAAGTAATCTGAAAAGTTCTTTAAGATAAATAGTTCTTACAAGTTTTGTAGGAATTGTTGATGGAATCGAATAAATTCATCTTGTCAGCATGAAAGCATTCCTTACTAGATCCCAAAAATGCAATACAAGAAATGTTGGAAAAGGGAGGGGATAAAAAGATGAGAGAAAGGAGGAGCTAGGTCCATACTTCTTATTAATGATCCAAGTCAGAGCTCACACCTTAACATACCAAAGTAAATCAATGATGGGACACAAATGGATAATAAACCAGGCTTCATTAGTTCTGATGTTGATGGAGCTACTTAAGGGATTATTAGAACATTTTAAAATTAGTGATGGAGCTTTCTAAATTTTTAATTTCATTGATATCTTTCTTGAAGGATAAAATTTGTATTTCATCATACCTGGGAGAGAGCTCTTACCCATTTTGAAAGAGGAAATCCAGATTTGTAAGAACATATACAGACAAGAGTGGAGAATCGGGATTGAAAGGGGAGTTCTTGGAAAACAGATTTGAGAAACGTTATTACTTGACAGCATCTTGTGCACTAAAACTTTACAGGAATCCTAGAAAGACTGGGCACATTCACAAGAGAAATCCTTAGAGCATTATCTATTTCATACATAATTAGTATTGTGAGTATACCCTGATTATTGTCCTTCTACATGTTCAGGAAATCAAGAAATGCATGTGAAAGTTCAGATTCAAGACACAGAGAATGGTTATGACAAGTTCCCGGTAATGAAGGATTCTAGGAGCTAAATCTATTTATATCTTCAAAGGATGATCTAAAGCCATCCTTTGAAGAGGAAATATCTTTTCAGACTACCATTTAGTCTAGTCTGAGGAAATAATGAGTTTAGGCTGAACACAGAATTCAATTCAGAATTATTATCTTTTAAATCTTGCTTTAGTGGAAAAACAGGATTCTTAGTTAGGCAGATACAATCCCATATTTCTATTTATTGTTTTCTTATGATAATTTAAGTTTACTCTTGGAAGGATTTTCTGGAATGCTATTTTATGGGATCCTTACACTCTCTCAATTCTACTTTCAAGACCACTGACTTAGGATGTAACATATTAAATCTTAAAGGAGAAAGCAATTGCTAACCCCTCCTAAAAGTTAGAAGTTGTGTTTATTCCTCTTACGTGTTACCGACAGGACAAATGAAGAGGGTTGTTTGTAGGTCTTTTTATTTGAAAGTTGCCTTTTATATTTTTGGAGTTCTTGACTGAATTAGAAGTGTTTTAACCAAAGACTATAATAAATATAGTAGAGGAATCAACACGCTGCCTCATGTTAGTCTAAGAATTTGAGTACTTGTTTTGATTAACTGTATCCTAACAGAGCTCTGACAGGTTACTTCAACATGACTCAAAAAGAGTGACTGTCCACTTCCTACAAAGCTGCAAAATAGAGAATTGTCTTCTAATTGTCTAACTTTTCTGCTAGAAAGGTTGGCAGTGTATCTTTCCTTGCATACTTGCATTTAGAACATGCAATTCATATAGGAAATGCATCTTGTGCTCACCTGAGATTCCAGAGGCATGTGCAGTTTAAATAGTCCCATTTCCTGTCCTGTGCTTTTTCTTCATGTGAGAGAGAGTGAGAGAGAGAGATCTACATTTTCTGAAATGGATATCATATTTTCTCAGTATGTTTTATAAGTCTGTTGAAGGGGGTCTGTTTTTACATTCAGAAGATTACTTCAAATTATGGTGACCGCATTGATGAGGAAATCATCACCACACACTGACGTTGAGTGCTGTGTAGAAGCATCAAGAAATAGGGTTGCCTTTGGGAAAATGGTCATGAATTCATTTTTTTCAAAAAGTATTCCAAGACTGATTTTAGAAGGATCTAAAATACAAAGTTTATGCAAATTTGAGTGGGGAAAAAAAAATCCAGTTACTAGAATACTCTGGGATTTGTTGTCCCTATGAACATTCTCTCCCTATCTGTGTTACCTTTCCTTCATATTACGTTAAACATCTTGAATGAGAGAAGCTAGGGAAAACCAGTGCATTTGACCTGATATTAACCTGTTTCCCATGAAGACTGTGTATATCTTAGTGATACTGTTAGATCAGAAAATCTCGGATCTGCATGCTATGCACAGTTGCTAAATGTATGAAAGCTTACAAAAAGAAAAAAAAAACACTTAGTATGCTTCTCATATGGGGACAGAGTTCCTGAGTAAGCTGCAGAAGCTGTGATAAAAGTTTCGACACCTGTACATAGAGTGTACACATTGCACCAAAGAACTCCTTTCAGCTGCAGTCCACTTGCTTTTCTGCTTGGAATATTTATGTTCCTCTTGCATCCTTGCTTGAAGTGTTTTGACTTCTAGAGTCATGGGTAGCCTTGTGTGCATCAAAACAATTTTGCTGCATGTGAAAGGTATAGGAAATCAGAATGGAACAGTTATTGTTTGGTTCCTTTCATTTCTTTACAGCTTCAGCACACATCTGCTTACTCTGCACTGTTCAGCTGAAATACTATCTTGGCTTTGGTGTTTTGAAATTTAAGTCTTTTTATAACCAGAGACATTTTGGAAGGAGTCTCTGAAGCCATTTAATCATTGCCTTCCCCAAAAGATTGGCTCTACTTATACACATTTTAAGAAACAAAGAGATGACATTTTTAGGGTTTTCCATATTGGCTGTTTCAAAACTTCCCTGGGCAAGGTGAATAGTTAATTGTCCAGTGACCTTTTGTCAGTATTTTAGGATATGCATTATGTTCTTCAGGTAATTTATTTCTGGCAGACAATTCTTTTTTCTCCATAGTCCTTGTTTTGACCTGCCTCTGAGGCAGGGTAACTGAGGTTCTTGTTAATAGATCCACTGGGGTAAATTAGAGTGAAATGACACTGAATGACTTCTCATTTGATTATCTGGCGACTGTAGGGAAGCACCAGTGGTGTAGTGGTATCATGCAAGATTCCCATTCTTGCGACCTGGGTTCGATTCCCGGCTGGTGCATGGAAAACCCTCAGCTCCCACCCTTTGCAGTGCCTATACCTGTTAGATGTAGTTCATCAAGATGCATAAAGGCAATGTGTTTTGTTCACTTCCTTTGTGCTTTTTGTAACTTGAATTTTGGGAAGGGTAGTTAAGTTACTGTGGGCTTGCACTCTCTTACAGGTATTTCAAGGACTATTTAAAGTGAAAGAATGTGTATTTAGGAACCAGCATTTCACATGCACTGAAAGTGAAATGTGCAGTGTGTGTGTGTGTGTGTGTGTGCGCGCGCATGTATGCTTAGTCCTTGATCAGTTAGAAATCTCCGGGTTTTGTAAGGAAAATTATGCTTCCTTTCTTTAACTAAGCTAGTGACAGCTTGTATTAAAGCAGCTGATCTTTGACAAAAATATTTTGGTCACTAATTCAGCAAAGTAAATGTGTGAAAAGTGCTAATCTGTTGTGGGTTTGTAGACTAAGTATCAGAAATAATGTTGTATATCCTGTGAAGGTCCTCACAATACCATTTAGGTTTATAATTCTGATTCATTAGATAGTCAGTTGTAGTAACAGTTTATTACTCAGTAATCCCATTCTTCTTCAAAGAAACTGTTTGATATATTGAAAACATAATTATAACTTAATATTGAAAAATATTAAGTTCTAAGATTATAGAGATTGTATTCCATCAGTCAAAGCAATATCAGTGTTTATCTGTAGGTTTTTTGTAGTTGATTCTGATTGGATTTGCTGTGTAATCCAATAGTGTAATTGAGTGTTGTTTTAAGTTCGCTTCTATTAAACAGTTCACTTCTGCTGAAAGTTTGTTTGTATGCAAATAAACTAAAATGGTTTTATGTGACTTAAGATTTCTGCAAACAGCAAATGCTTGTAATTGGAACTCATCAACTATATTACTAACTTGTACCACTGCACTGTATGAAGTATCCTGTACAAGCCCAGTCATCATAAGAAACATGAACTGAGACTCTGTGGCAAATTTCAACCCTTTAAGGTAAAAGGGCTGTTTTTATCACTTTCTTCTCATCCAATATTGCTAGTCTTATATTATATTTGGGCCCAAAAAAGCTATTTGATGTTCAAATATCATCTCCTTCAAACACAAGAGCAGTCCATTCCAATGAGTAGGAAGTCAGGTAAAAGTGGCGGGAGGTTTGATTGGATGAATAAGGAGCTCTAGGGAAAACTCAGATACAGAAAGGAAGCATATAGAAGATGGAAGCAGGGACAGGTAACCTGGGAGAAACACAGAAACATTGTCTTGAGCATACAGTGATGCAGTTAGAAAAGTTGAAGCCCAAATGGAATTGAATCTGGCAACAAGAAGGACTTCTGTTCATGCATAGATCACAAAACAAAGACTACAGAAAATGTGAGCCCATTGCTGCATGAGGCAGGGAGCCTGATGGCACAGAACATGGAAAAGGCTGCAGTACTGAATGTCTCCTTTGCTTCAATCTTTACTGCAAGAGCCAACCTTCAGAAATCCCAGGTCCCAGAGACCAAAGGGAAAGGCTGGAGGAAGGAATGCATATCCTTTCTGAAGGAGAATTAAGTCAGGGAATACGCAAACTGAACATACATAAGTCCACGGGCCTTGATAGGATGCACCCATGAGTGCTGAGGGAGCTTGCTGATGTCATTGTGAAGTCACTATCAATAATCCTTGAGTGACTGAGAGAAGTGGTTGAGGACTGGAGGAAGGCAAATATTACTCCTACGTTCAAGAAATGCAAGAAGGGGGACCCCAGGAACTACAGGTGAGTCGGCCTCACCTTAATCCATGGAGAGGTGATTGAGCAGCTAATCCTGGACAGCATTTTCCAGGCACATTTCACAAGGAAAAGAAAGTCATCAGGAGTAGTCAACATGGATTTGCCAAAGCTTCTAGCAGCTTCTCACAGAAGCTGGCCCCGTAACCCCCTGCTTCCTAAAACCTGGCCACACAAACCCAATACAGCAAGACCTAACTAATGTTATCATCCCAGGTATGTAGTCAGTCAGAAATGTATCTCAAAGCTATACATTTTCGGTAAGAGAGGGAATTTCACTCTCTAGGTATTGCGGTTTACTTATCTTCTACATGAAGCCATTATTAGTGGCTGTACCTTCAGTAATAAGGTTGCTTGCCAGCACCACTCAAGTTGCTGTTGCACCACTCCATTCCTGTCACTTGCAGAATGACCAATCTGTCAACAGTTAGCAAAGTTAACATTGCTATATATAATATAGTCTTAGTTACAATAAATTAGCAAAACCATAGGGTTTATAATAATATATAATATGTAACATATAATATGTAATAAATAATATACAACTAATGATACATTATAGATTACAATATATATTATATATATATAATATATATATTATATATATATGTATTTAAAGCATACATATAAACATGAAAACACACACAGAGAAGATGAACAGTTGCAAGAGCTATTTGCAAGGTAAAAGTAAGTGTGATTGAAGTGCACACAGGCTGAGATACCTCTCTACCTAAGCAACAGTTGAATAGTGGTTAATTTTGAATATGATAATATAAAGGAGAGTACAATTTATAGTTGATGGCCTGGTCTCTGCAGATATTCTGTTAGAGCAATTACCCCTTGGTGTGTCTAAACAAAGTGCCTGTCTGTAACCACCAGTTAAATTGTGTCCTTGGGCTACTGAATAGTCAAAATATATTCATGCAATCACCAAATGTTATCATTACTCATTCAAAATGTTGCTGCATTTTGGGGAGCAGTCCAGATGCCAGAGTTTGTCCAACAGACTCAGGATTTTGATTCAGATCCAATATATGCATATATGGGCAAGAAGGGGGAGGTGGAGGGTAGTGCCACAGGCAAGAGTTTTTATCTGGATTTATCCCTGGAACAGATATGTAAACTTTCATCTGGAAATAAGGCTTTTACTCATTGATTACAGGATGTGTTTTCCACATGGACACTGATCTCTGTCACTTCTATTTCCTTGAAGTTCCCAATAATCTTTGGGATTTAGGGTTTGAGAATATGGGGGAATATTTGGCACCTGCTTTTGAATTTTCTTAGATATGTGGCATCTAGGAGATGTTTATGATCTCCTTACACAGAAACCTCCCTTTCCAAGTGCTGATGGCATACACACTTCCAGAGTGCAGGTATGGATTGTAAGACAGCTCAGCTTCTTTGTGTATATAATTATTTTAAACTACCAAAAGAAAATTAAATTAAAACTGGAAAATATTGTTACTTTTTTATTGTATGGTCTATATTTATTTATCTCTCTTGTACCTGAGACTCTGTTGGAATGTCTTTTTTTTTAGTATAGTTTCATGATGCTTGAGAAAACATTTAAAAGCTCTTTAGTGTGATATTAGGGTTACGCTTTCATTGCTGTTGGCCATTAACTTTTCTTAAGCATTGTACATTAAGCTTTTTTTCCCCCATAAGAATTTAGAGTGGAATCTTAAAATAGAGGTTCAAAATCAAAAAGAAGTTTGAAAAGTGACTCTGGTAAGTATGACAGTAACAATTTTAGTTCAATTCCAAGTTCTTCTTCTACCTTCTTTCTACTTCTACCATGAATTAGTTTTGAGTAGCTTGTGATCAACTCAAATAGAAGGGTTATGTCTTTTGCCATAATTTAAATACTCATGAAAACATGAAACACTTTATTTGTATCTAGTTATTCACAATAATTTAGTTTGTTTTAAAAGATAAAAAGTCTTTAGTAATAATCCATATATGCAGTGACATTATAATTTGAATTTTTTATATGTTTCTTCAGTTTCTGGAGAAGCTGCAATGAAATCCTTACTATACCTTATATTGATGCATGCATATATACAATAGGGTAGCCATTTATTTTCTTTTGATGTGAACTGCTAAATTCATATAACCCACTTTGGTGTCCTTTTTTTGATTGTCAAATGTACCTCTTTTCTTCTGAACTTCAGTGATGTTTGTCAACCATCCTCAGATAAGTATTGATATTTCTTTAGCTTCTCTGACTGAAATCCCAAGTTTGGCATCACCAAATGGAGTGCTCCATCTGCATCCATCCTTTGGCAGATGGATTCCATCAGCTATCTTCTGCAAGGGTATGGATAATGGTATATTAAAATTGTTTTAATAATTAGCAGACTTTAAAGCCTCAAGAAAAACACTGATTGAAAGCTCCAGGACTATTATCAGAAGAAGTCCTTAATTTCTGCATTCAGTATCACTAGCAAGAGATATAAGCCTTAAAGTGGGGTTGTCAGAATGAAGCTCTGGCTTCTGTCTGAGCAGTGACTTCCCAGAGACCACTCCTTCTTTCCTTATGATACCAGAAAATGAAAGTCAATGTGTCTCTCAAAGTTTCCTGGTGTGGTAGATTTCACCCTGGATGGACATCACATGCCAACCACAATCACTTTATCACTCCCCTTCTCAGCTGGACAGAGGAGAGAAACTATAAGCAAAGGCTTGTGAGTCGAGATAAGGACAGGTAGAGATCTCTCAACACTTACCATCATGGGAAAAACAGAATTGACTCAGGGAAATTAATTGAATTTATTACCAATCAAATCAGAGCAGGGTAATAAGAAATAAACCAGAACTTTAAAAGACCTTCCCACCACCCCTCTCTTCTTCTTGAGCTTAACTTTACTTATGATTTTTTCTGCCTTCTTCCCTGCAGGGGCAGAAGGTGATGGGGAATGTGGGATGAACTGTGGTCAGTTCATCACATGTTGTCTTCGATACTCCTTTCTCCTCAGGGGTCAACTCCTCACACTCTTCTCCAGCTCCAGTGTGGGATCCCTCCCACGTGAGACAGTGAGACAGTCCTCCATGAAACTGTCCAGCATGAGTCCTTTCCACGGGCTCCAGTTCTTCACAAACTGCTCCAGTGTGAGTCCCTTCCACAGGGTGCAGTCTTTCAGGAGCAGACTGCTCCAGAGTGGGTTCCCCATGGGTTCACAAGTCCTGCCAGCAAACCTGCTCCATTGTGGGACCCTCTCTCCATTGGTCCACAGGTCCTGCATGAAGTCTGTTCCAGCATGGGATCCCCATGGAATCACAGCCTCCTTCGAGCATCCATCTACTCCAACAGGGGGTCCTCCATGGGCTGCGGGTGGATCTGCTCCCCCATGAGCCTCCATGGGCTACAAGGGGACAGCCTCCCTCATCATGATCTTCACCACAGGCTGCAGGGGAATCTGGGCTCCATCGCTGGATCTTCTCCACTGACCGTGGTATTTGCAGAGTTGTTGTTCTCACATAGTCTCAGTTCTTTCTCTGGCTTTAATTTGCTCTTGTGCAGGTGGGTTTTTTGTCCTGCTTCTTAACTACATTACTCACTGTCACTGATGGCTCGGCCTTAGCCAGCAGCAGGGTGTGTTGGGGCCAGCTGGCTGTGGGTCTATTGAACATGGGGGAATTTTATGGCAGCTTCTCCCAGAAGCCAACCCCGCAACCCCCCTGCTACCAAAACCTTACCACGCAAACCCAATACACCTGGAAAAATCAGCAGCTGCTGAACTGGCTTTGTACTCCATGTGTTAGTGGTGCCTGCCTACAGAATGCAATCAAGTAATAGATTTCCAGTTGCTATTCTTGTGCACGTTCTGTGAGGAGATGGAATTCAATGATAATGGCTGTGCAAACCTCAAGCCACACTGGTTGCACACAGATGTGGTAAAAGCATTGCCTTTTTCTTAGAGAAAACAATACAATTAGTTGCTTTCTTCCCATCCGAATTCCCTCTAATAACTGGAAAAGATCTCCTGTGATGCATTATTAGCACACCAGTGTATAATGCATCCTGAGAGCCTTCTCATAGTTGGTAGGTGGGCACCATTGAGATTCATCATCTCTTCATTCTTATAAAGGAGACCTGCGATACCTCTGCAAAAATTATCTCTCCTATTCACACCACCACTCTTACCATTATGAAATACAGGATTGTTTTGGCTCCATTGTTCCTTCCTGCTCATTCTCAAATGAATATTCCCATGCTGTGAGTTTTCTGATGTTGGATTCTGATCCAAAATCATATGGAATCAAAAGAACCAGCCAAAACTGGAGGGAGGCATTGCAGTATTTCACTGTAAGTCCTTGAGTCAGAACCCTCTTTGAGTTCCTTTTGCAATGGTCCCAGATAGGAGAGGTTTACTCTGAGAGCTGTCAAAGACTATTTTTCTTTAGAATTAAATGTTGGATTTACTGTGATGACCAGAAGTCCTTCTGAGGTTTTTATTCCCCTTTTTTTCCACAGAGAAAAGTCTGTACCATTTTTATTTGCTCCTGAACAGTGACAATCTCCATTTACTTTTGTTACAAAATTTGTTCTCTTCCATTCTGTGACCTTGAACTGTGCAAGTACTCAATAGCAGAATCTAGTATCTACATCTCCCATTTCTAAATGGGGCTTACAGGGAAGCTGGAGAGGGACTCTTCATCTGGAACTGTAGTGAGAGGACAAAGGGTACTAGGTACAAACTGAAAGAGGGGAAACACCTAGTGAAAGGTGTCCCTGCCCATAGCATGAGTGGTTGTGACTAGATGATCTTTAAGGTCCCTTCCAACCTCTTAACATTCTGTGATTCTATGATTCTATGGAGATGTCAAGAGCATAGAAGAGTTTGAGAGACAAGTAGCAGATCTAGAACTAAAGATGCATTTAAAGACAGCCATGAGTAAAAGTAGTAGAGTCTGGACCATTCACTAGCACTTTTTTTGTCATTATGAAAAAAAAAGAAAGAGAAAACAGAAGTCAATAGCTCAGAAGAGCAGGATTTTGCAGCTGTGCAGTTGTGCTGTGATACAACATAAAACACAGCATCATTCCAGCCTTATTTTTGACCTTTCTTGCTTTCTGTATTAGAAAAACCTTTCTTTCTGCTTTAACTGTGGCGTTCTATTTTCTTACAAAAGGTAAGCCTGTTTAATATTTTCTTGTTTCCTATGTAATTCTTACTTACAAGCTAAAGATAGCAACTAATTGATAAGCCCCCAGTAATGGCATGCTGGGGACCTTCTTAATTTCCCTCCTTTATGGATGCTACTGTTGATAATGTTTTTCCTTCCTCTCATGGGAGGTCCATTTTCTATAATAAGAAAAAGAAACAGAAGATTTTTGTATTAAAAACAGTCCCTCAACCTACTTGCATTGATTTAATTAAGTACACTTGTCTCTTCCAAGCCTTTATTTTACTTCTGGTACAGCATTCCTGCATTTTTCAGTTCTGTCCTCTATCATCTTGAAAGTATGGCTAAAGAACCATTTTATTCCAGTCGTATAGTGATGACCTAATAGCCTATTGCCCATGTTTGCAGATTATACCAGTGGTATTAACCCTCCCTGAGGTTAAATTACAAGAAAAATTTCAGAGAAATAACCTTTTGTCCAGACCTGCTCCAACGGAATACTAACTGAACTTGTCTGACTGAGAAATATGCCTTTCATTATTAGACCTTTCTCTTTTAAATCTGATGATCTTTTAGATTTTTGAAAGCTTTGCTTATATGGAGTGCTACAGCAGTGGTAATAGAGAGCAGAGGGTATGTATTAGGTGGGCATGCATTGTTCATGGTAACAAGTTGTTTTATGATAGGAAAGATGTTTGAATCTCTTTCCTGTCCTTTCCCCCTCCCCTCCTCCACCCAAGAAAGTAAGCGTCTTAGGAACCAAAATTGAAAATATAGTAATCAGTGTGAAACAAGTGATTATTCTGTAAGTGTCTGAAAGAGAAGGGCATTTTCACTAGACCGTATTGCCAGAAAAGAAAAACCAAAATGCCTTTCTTTTTGTTTCCAAATCAATAGGGAGAAAACTAGCTATTAGTTAAGACAAGGAGTTTTCTGTAAGCCATATACTTGTTACAGAACATTCTCACAATCAAGTAAGATCAACATCTATTGAAACTGTTCAGTTTAGATTTTTTCTCTAAGCCCAGATGGAAGAATTGATGCTGCCTCAGCAAGAAGGGTTTTTTTTTGTTGCAGAATCAGTCTCTAGTAGTTCTGTTATCCAACTACCAGTACATAACTTGTCATGGGTTATCCTTTTCTCAAGGTTTTTAGTGTTACTCTATTTGAAGGTCTCTTGACACAATCTGAATGCAGCAATACTTCCCCACTTTTGGAGGAGAGACAGGGGTTGTTGAACAGTTCAATAGTTCAATAATGGATTATGGGTAGTTTATTTTTGATGCAGATTTAATGAGTCAATTTGAAAAATTAAGAGAAAAAAAGATTCTTCTAATAACTAATAGTATTTTCCAAACAAGGCATTCATGGCAGTGAGTAATGTTGTTAGCCCTTCCCCAACTGAAACTAAGTAGAAACAATGTGACAAAGATCACATCATTAGTTTCCCGGAAACCTAGAGAGGTGTGGTATAAGTTATACATCATGGTCTACACCATGTGTTAGAAGCTTGGAAACAGAGTTTGCACAAGCAGATTTGTATGCAAATGATATCCAAAAGATATTGGTAACTTCCAGGAAGAACTTTCTCATTGATTACAGGTTTAAATTATTGTTTCAGAATGGAAATATGAATACTTATTTTAATTTTTTAATATATTTTAAAATAAATTTAAACATTGAATAATATAAATATTATACCATTTATGTAAACACATTTATTAATGTAAAATTTCCCTTACTACATGTATTAATAATAATTTCATTCATTTAATATTTGTTGCTCATATTAATGATGCAAATGAAATTTATACAATAGATGAGAATAGTTTTCCTTGAGGTGCCAATTAATAATAAAGTGAATTAATGAAAAAGAAAAAATGAGATATTGCAATATTTTATTTTCTTCTTCCTCCTCTTGTTAGCTGTCCTTAGCGGTATTTTGCATGAGGTAGTGACAATAGTTAATAAATTATTATTTTGCCCTTTATACACATTCCATGGCAGCTATTCCAAATATATATTATGATTTCAGAACTTTATTTCTAACTTTCTTTGCAGAAAGAAAATAAAGAAGCATGGGGAGCAAAGTAAGCAGTGATTTTTTTTTTCTGTAAGATGAAAAAGACTATATGAAGTAGCAGAGGGTATTTCTGTTTTAAAAGTGCATTTTTTCATTCAAAGAGTATAAAAACCTTCATGATGGAAAAATGGGTATGGAAGGGAAAACAAAAGTAAGCTTAAAAATGGTAACTGTTACAGTATTTACTAACACTTCTTTTCTATAAACATAGAACAATAGCTTTTGAATACTAACACATCTATTTATGCATAAATTCCCCAGAAGATCTCCTGTGTGGATCAGATCTGTGTGGATCAGATGAGCTAGATAAAGAGCAGAAGCAAACCGAACAACAAGTTGGAAAAAAAAAAAGGGGTATTATGCAGCAACAATTAAATGACATAGAGGTGAATAATTTAATGCTTGTATTGAAGTATGTTTAATGTTGTAATGCTTTTTTGAAGCATGTTTAATCTCAAAGGTGAAGTTGCCATTTCTACACAGTTGCCTTTGAACTATATGCACACATGCACTGTACATACTATTTTCTCTCTCTTGCTCGAACTAACCTGTGAGGTCCATAGCCTTGAGACAGCATAAAGTACGAAGCAGAATTGATATTGGGGTCATTGAGAAGTCCTTTGCTTTCTTCATTTGCTACTCTGGCTCAGATTGCTTCAGGGGCTTTAGAAATGCAAGGGAGAAAATCAATAAAGGACAAAAAAATTCCAATGTAATAGGAAGTGCCTGCTGATTACATGTTTGCTCAGCAGATGGCATCTTCTTGTAAATGATAGCTCATATCTGCTGTATCAGTTACTAAACTGTATAATCCACGAAAGGGAATTACTGAATTTCATTACTGAACATTGTGCTTTGTATAAACATGGTTATAAGCATTAGAAAAAACAACCTTTTTAGAAGAAACAACCATTTTCTTTCTAAGACTCTGTTCATTTTTTGTTATTCTTTTACTTGCATATCGTATAAACTTGTTAGATACTACAGGGAAGTCATATAGATTACCAAAAAAGAAGCTTTCATGTTGTTCAGAGCAGCTTTCAGAATCCTGCAATTTCTACCGAAAAAACTGCAAGACTTATAAATGACAGAATCTTAAATTAAGCATTGGGAAAATAACAGATTCACACAGGTTCCTAAATTCGACAGTGAAGATAGGGATTATACATCCCTTTCTATTAAAGATTTTGCTCTACCAAACAGCAGGTTTACCAATAGATCTTAGAACACGTGGAAATGACTGATGAGTCAGCATATAGATAATCAGTAATTTAACAATGTTTCTCAAGGCATTTATTTCCTATTTTTTAATTGTTATTTTTAATACTGCCTCTTCTAGTAATTGTAAATAACTGTATCTGTTATTTGCTTAAGCAATATTTGAGTTGGTGTTCTGGAGTAGTAATAGTAGAGGACTGTCCTGGTTAAGTGGAGTAAATCAATGTACAAACCCTATTTGTAGGGTTCTGAACTGGTAACGCTACTTGGATACCTTATATATTTCAATCTTAGAGACTGATACACTTCTTTTATTGTAGAAATTGAAGCTTTGTAAAAGGTAGGTTTTATAAAAGGGGTTGTTCTTTTTTTAACAATAAGTAATATTTCTAGTTGTGCAGGATTATACTATATTATTCTGCTAATCATGTTCTATGGTTTTTAAGAAAAAGTTATTTAAAGTTCTATTCAGATATATTAAGACTCTCCATGATTAAGATATTGGCCTGTTTAAAGCTTGTCCACCTGAAATGATGTTATGGAAGAAATGGGTTCCGTTCTATAGCATTCTTCATATAGGAGTAATACAGAGTCTCCAAATTTCAACTGATCAAGCAATTCACTCAATGTGTCATAGTATATCTATTTGAAGGCAAGGTGAATCACAGTGTGAAGGCTTCTTTGCCATACCACTGAATTCGAAGTGACTTAGTTTGGTCAGCTGACATTTAAATGTCAAAAGCTAGATACTGAGATAACAGCATATGAATTCTACCTCATAATACAACAATACTTCTGTTCAGCAGCTAGGAAGAGCGGAGATTGTTGTTCGTGTATTGAACAGCTGAATGACCAAGTGTCAAGGGACTCATTCAGCTTAGGCAGGATACTGGACTGTTATCCACTACAGCAAGCCATAAGGTGCAGATATTCAGTCAATTGATATTTGGATCACATACTGTAGAGTATCTCACCATTCTTGTTTGTTTATTCTAAAAGCTGATGGCAAATTCTATGTCTTCTATAATTGGTTCCAGATTGCACTGACACAATGGTCAGTATTCCATGTGCTTAAAAGCCAGCATTTTCAGGTTTTGTCTGCTTTGGTTAAAAAGTCCTGAAAAAGGTGCAAGAAGTCAATAATTGCAAGAGGAATAATTGTTCTTCATTGGCAGTTTTGTTCTAACACGGCTCAAATGGGAACGTAACTCTTTCACATAAAACTTGTCATGGTTTCTTTGTGTGCATATTTATATCTGGCCCTGATATATTAATCATTTCATTATTTGCAAAGTTTAGGCCAGGACAGATCATACAGACATCCTGTTTATCGTGGGCTATCACATTTCACCAAGCATTCCTGGTACTGAACCTAGAACTTTTCTTCAAAGGTTTGACACTCTCTATGGGCAGTTCAGTTAGAATGGAATTTCCATTAATTATCATATATTAATTTTCTTTCTAATGATTCTATGTTCTTCCAAGAAATGGGACATTTTCATCTGATTCTATACAGATACCTATTACACTTTTACAAAGTTCACAGGTCTTAAAAATCTCACATTCTTCCAATACCTTGCACACCTTCCATGCTAACATCTGTTACAAAAGCTTTGATTGATTGTTTTTTTATAGCTACCTTTTAGGTATACCTCTCAGAAGCAGTCCTTTCATAAGGAAAAAGATCCTTAGGTTATACATAAGGTTACTGCTCCAGAAAAATGGGTGAGTATCTAAAGAAGAAAATTCTAAAATACTGATCTTAAAATACTGTGATGCATTCTTTGCCTAGTGAACTGTGAGGTCTTGAAATTCATATCGTATTTATACATGTGTGCACTTAAATGATATATGTATATATGTGTATATATAAGGATAATCAAAATGTATTTTCCTCCCTCTTAATTTAACCCATTTACATAGCAGCTTACAGCCCATTAGTCTGGGTTACAAAATCTAATGCAGCAAGACCACTTTACAAGTATCACCCAAATAGAAGACTCCCACCTGTTTATTACTGTTGAACTGCTACAATGCTTTATGTTTACCTTGTTTATTGTAGGGAAGCTGCAGCTTTGTTTACCAGATACTCTTGCTTTTGAAAGTAGAATTTCCCTGTGTCATGAATTTTCACTTTTTTTTGGGTTCTGTGACCATCGGTCACATTTATTATGAAAAAGACAGCAATTTAACCTCTCTTCTGTAGAGAGTGAAAACGCTTTTTAATTTACAGGTTTTCAGCAGCTTAATGTCAGCATCTCTTCAAGTTGTGTTCTTGCAGCTGAAGAAAGTAGGGAGGAGTTCAGGAGTCATTCTCTGTGCTTTAATCCTCCTCTGTCTGTAGTACAGGACAATTACGTTATGGAAAACTTGACATCTAAAAGAGGACTACTTTCCAGTTAGGCAACAAAATGAAAAACTGCTCTGGGAATGACAACTAAAAATACTGATTTTTCCTTAAAGTAAAATGCTTTAGGTATCTGCCTAAAACAGTATTACATTCTGTAAGTCGTTGGATGGTCTAGCAATAAAAGCTGCCAGTTAAGGCACTGACTCTGCATACACTGAAATAAGTAGTTCCAGCCTTGGATGATATGCAAAAGTTTTTAGCTTTTATTGACATTAATAATGATTTTGCTGTGCAAACCAGTGCTTATTTGCAAAAATTTTTTATGTAGGGGCAAAAATAAAAGGGACATGTATTTTATGAAGATGGTGGCCTACAAATATACATATACCCACATGAAACATAGACAATTGCAAAAATACAAGTGCCATAATAAAATTTGTGCATATATAAGATTGTGCAACAAGTTGGAGAACTGTAACTGGATTTGTGAAGCTGTTCTCTTACAGAAATGCAATTCTGCCATTTGTGCTAATTGTTTAACTGCCCCTTCTGAAAGAAGTTTCCTTTCTTTGGATATACAATGTCATCAATTGTTGCCCATAATCATGTGCTTAAAATGCAGCATTTGGAAATCTAGTCTTGGCTAATTCACATGCTTTTTTAATTCCTAGTTAAATTATTAAAAACTATCACACTATGGAAAACCTAAAAAAATGAATTTGGATAATTAAATGAGTTCTGGAACATGAAGCAAATACAGATAGAAAATACAGAAAAATGTTTTGCTGATTTGCTGATTTAGACCTACCTAATATACAAATTTTAAGGGATAATTAATTACTTTAATAAAACTAAATTAATAATTCTACTTTATTACTAAAAATGTTTTTGTTATTTTATGGTATTATTTCTAGGAAATATGCACCTATCATCAATAATTTGAGAGTATTTTTGTCTTATCATTGCTTAGTAGTTTAAACACACCTGTAGAAGTTATTAATGATAAATTGTCTCTCTACCAAACTGAATTTTGGATATCAAAATTACTTTTATAAATCTGATAATATTCATGGTCAGTTGCATCCTTAATTACTGGGGGATTCCACGCGCTTTGTGTCTTCTCTGGTTTAAGAAATGTGGACCTAAACTTACTGTGACTGATGATTACCGAAAATAGTCTCAAAGGGCTCTATTCAACTGATAATGCAGACTGTCTTCTAGGCCATGCAAGCCTTGGAGGGCTGTATATGCTGATTGCACAGCAGGCTTACTCTTCAAGGATAAAGGTGAACCTGCTGTGCAATGTCAAAAGAAAGCAGCTCAGATTGTTGAATTGTACAGGATGACTAAGTAGTGAAAAAATTATTCTTACATCATTATACTACAACTCCCTGTGATCTCCTTCACTTCTGTACTGTTGATGCTGAAAGGCCTTTGAGAGATTATTCCATAAAATTCTTGACTTGGGGGAAAAAAGAGTCTTTGTAAATTTTTAGCTCAATATGTAGGACTGGATATGTTTTTTCCAAACACTTGATTCAAACAGAATGATCCAGAGGGACCCAATTTGCAGTGGAACTTAGTGAAGTTCAGGAACTGAGGACATCTTTCCCTTATTGAAAAATCTCCTTCTCATTTTTCATAGCTCTTTAGCCAGTAGTCAGTGGTTTCATATCAGTGACATGTTATGTTCAAGCTCAGAGAAGAAAGGGATAATGCCAACATAAAGTGGCACTGAAAGTTCATTCCAGCAATTCATTGTTTCTCTGTAGTCAAGTAGTCTGTCTCTTCAAAGAGGAGTTTTCTTGCAAATTCTGCAACTTCTAGACCTAGACTAGTACAGCAAAGTAAAGAAAACTTGAATGTTTTTTAAGAACCTGCTTTTAGAGATCCCATCTAATGGAAAGAACTCTACAGTCAGAAAAAGTCCTCACATCTCCCTCTGACTTTCACATTATGCATCCCAGTAGCTAGTGTTACTTTTTGTCATTCTCTGAATATAGAAGGCACAGCACACAGAAATTTCTCCATTGTGTGACATGCTGAAAACAGGCAGCATGCTTATGCCTTCTGGTTGTCAAAGTAGACTCTGTGAGTTAGGGGGAAAGGAGAGGAAGAGTTTGGTGTCACTAGTCTTTTTTCGTTGCTTACTGCTATTCATTAGTGAGGATTAATGATGACAATATTCAGAAAAAGATTTCTTTCTGGTTATTCTATTATTCTTCTATTCTTCTGTTAATGTTTTTAATTATAGAATATATCACATGGCATTTCATCAATCTATTTCAACAAAGTCTGCTCTACTAGCCATTCCCTTTTATATTTTGTGTTATGCAAATTCTGAGAATTCAGGGTGTGTGTGAGGAGCATCTTTGCTTATATTGAGCCCCCACCCTTTATATGCATCAGTTGCTGTATAGTGTGTCTACTCCTCCATCAGGAAAGGAAATAAGGACAGGAAGTAAGATGTGGGATGTACTGAAGATTATGAAGGCTGGAAGAGTGTTTCGGTGAAAAGGAAGTCTACGTTATTTCTGACGGTTCGCTAAGCCCCTCTTTAGATTCAGAGAAGGCCTTAGATGCTTTAATTTTCTGCAAAAAGATTTGTTGTTCTGAAGAAAGTCTCAGAACAGACTTGTGACCTCCAGAATTTGGAATCAAACATGAAATTCCTGAATACATGTGTTCTATCAAGTATCAGCTAATCACTAAGAAGGATAACAGCTTATTATTGGTCCCAGCTGTTGCTATCTTGACAGTACAAATGGCTCCTGAGCAGTCAGTTTTATTGTTATGTGACAGATTTTTCCCTTTCTCAGGGAAAAATTTGGTTTGTTTTAAAATTTAAAAAAGTAATTTATTTTAATGTTAAAATAACATTTATTTTACATAACCAAACCTTAAAATTAGAAAAAGTAGGCTTAAACTTGTCTCTTGAGTTTTCTTTTTTGTGTGTACATTGTAATAGGGTCTTTATTAAGCAGCTAACTGTTATGTTACCTCCAAGGCTTTAGTTTAGGTTATCTTGCAGCAAATCAGTTAGAAAAGCTTTTTTTCTTTTTTTCTTTTTTTTTTCTTTAATATTCTTCTATGTACAAGTAACAGAAATATAAACCCTGAGAGAACAGAATGTCAGTACTAAGTGAAAACCTCTGAAAAGTTCTTAACGTGACATATTTAGTCTTTAGAAGTTAAAGCAACGATACTGGGTATGGACAGAAAAAATTGAAATATTACACAAATAGTGTGAAGTTCCCACTTCAACTACCAGTAAATAATGAAGCAGTAGTTACTCAATATAGCACTGGCCGGGGGGTCATTCTCTGTCTTAAAATATCATTATTCAAGGAAATATTTCACATGTGCTGAACCAGTCCATTCTCCAAAAATGAAAGCAGTTTTTTAAAATTGTGAGAGTTATGTATCTCAATAGACTCATTGGATATGGATTGATAGGCATAATGTCTAGGTGGTCTAAATATTCATGATAAGCTCTATCATAGAGCTGCTTTTTGTTTTTAAGGGTATCATTAGTTGTGAGAAGACCTTATTTTATGTCTTATAAAATTAAAAATGAAACCTGTAAGTAAATACTAAAAAACAGTATAGCACTGATTACTTCATTGATTTTTTTTTCTTTCTAACAAAAGTTTTAAGTGGTGTGATGTTTAAGCAACAAAATGTTCAGATGGCATTTAACAATCTCCAAGATAAGCAGAATATGAGAAAAGGTTAAAGCAGTAAGAAAAAACATATGGAGAATTTCTGCCCAAGGGTAGAAAGAAAAAAAAATGCAGTGCCCCAACTTCTGGAGTCCAGTTTAAAGAAAGCAGTTCAAGAGGTTCTTATCTAGAGTTTCTAGAAATTCTAGTGAGATATTATAGTGAGTGAGAACTGCCTGTCTTGATAGTTGAAAAAAATTAAAATAACTTGTTCCAAATATCTTGAACTGGAAAATCTAAAAGTGAATTTTTCCTATATAGGCTGTGATATATATGGTAATGCCATGTGTATTCATAGCTAAGGGGAAAACAAAACCTCAAGCAACTCAACATAAGTTGTATCTTTTAGTTTGGGAGAAGTGCTGTTAGATGTTTTGGTTGATTCAGGGCCAGATTTAAGCAGGAAAACAACTCAACTCTGAAAAGGGGAAGTTAGTTCATAGTTCCTTCTACTTACGGAAAAATGCAGATGTATGTGTCAGTATAAAAAGTTAGAGGTGCACAGCTAGAAGTGCAGTTTGGAGGTCAGAATTACAAGTCATCCTCATTACCTCATTTTTAAGATGGACAGGTATGAGCCATTACACCTTATGCAGAAGAGAATGATGCAGTAATAAATGGAAAGACCAGTGAGATGGAAAATCCCAGTCTGAGGTCTATGAAAAGGTCCAATAAAATGTCCTGCAATAAAAGTGCAGGATTTGTAAGGGTGAGTAAAAGCTAGTAAGCAAGAACAAGAGAAAGGAAAAACTTTTTGCCCAGAGAAGAAGGCTGGAATTAGCTTGTCAGGAAGGGGATAGAGAGTGACATCTTTATTCAACCAAGAAATCCCTCTCTCCTGGAGACTGGACGGGACTGTTAAATACATAAAGGAGATTAAACAAGATTGTCAAGAGACAATCTGACCCTAAAGTAGGTGAGAAATTCAGTGAGAAAACTAGGGACCCTTCTTGTTGACATCATGAAGGGAAATGGAGTTGAAGAATCTTCATAAGAGACTAGAGATTTCAGCACAGATACAGACAGAGAAAGAAATTTGGTGGGGTGACTCTTGCAGTGCACTGAGGGAGATAAATCCTCTATTCATGATCAGGACTGAAAAGGATGTGAACCTGAAGCATCTGTGTGTCTGGTTCTTGCAGGAACACATATCATGTGCGATTGGGCTGGAAAGCTGAGTTACTGATTTGAAGACCTTCCGGAGACTGCGCACAGGAGAGAGGACTGCCAGGTGATAGCACTGACACATAAACATAACAAATGTCACAGCTAAATACAAGGTGTGACTTTTGATTTACTAACAGGCATGCTACTGAATGGGGTGAAATTTACGTGTATAATGAAGAAGGGATACCTTCTAGACCTGTTTTATCACTGTGCTATTTGTAACTACTTTCACAGCATCTCATTACCTCATGTTCTACAGAGACTGTACAGTCCCCAAACTATCATATTGCCGTTTGGTTCAGTGCCGATATGTGCTGTATTAAACACTCAGATAAGAATTCTTTGACATAACAATTTGTAATGAGTGTTGGATCACGTTCAGAATGATTATGTTGTGCCTTGTTTTCCTAACCTTGAAACAAGCCTGCTTGTGCTTGTTTTCTGCTGCTAATGTGATTATTGTACTTTCAATTAAAGTAACTGTAAAAATGATTACTGTGGTTTTGAAGATTGAGCAAGACATTTTAAATGACCAAAACTCTCTTGAAATATTCAAATTTGTCCTCGTTAGTATTTGCTATTGGACACATGATAATATATTCGTGAAGTGCAGCTGTATAAATCTTTGAGTTTTCTGCATACACAGACTCGTACTTAATATTAAGCAAAGCTTAAATATTAAATATTAAGCAAAATATATATATTAAGCAAAGCTTTGACAAATATCTAATACTTTGACTTTTCTTTTGCTTTGAAATAGTAGCAGTATCACAACTTCCTAACTCTATTAATTAACATTAGTCTTCCCCTAAAGAAACTCATACCTCCCAATAGTTTTTCCAGATTTTTTATGGATTTATTTGTCTGCTGCATGATACTGGAAAACAAGATGGAAATAGATTGATATTTCTTTAGCATTGTACCTTTAAATTGCACCAAGTTTGGCAATGTTTCTTCTAAAACTGAATGAGAATTTCTCCTCTATATAAAAGGACATATGGAAATTCCTTAAATGGAACAACAATAGTGTCTCCTTATCACAATGCAGAAAGTTTTAAAGAGGAGGAATATACTTAAAAAATATTTACTTTAAATTTTATAGATATTAACGTAAGGTTTATATCAGTTATTATTAAAAAACCCCACCTTTAGTCTGCAAATATTTGATCAGAATGTTTTTACCTTAACTTAAATCTTTTTCATTTTGAAATAAATCAGCATGTTCCTATGAGTACTTTATCTTTCATAGAAAAGCATTTTCCATCAGGGGAAGGATATATCAGAAAATCCATGTCTGGTTCTGACAGCTAGCCACGATATGTTGTTTCATCAGATATTCAGAGTATTACTAATGAAATAATCTACAAAATGGCATATTTCAGAAGGGATTGTTATAGAAATATAATAATATACTGCTGAAAGCTGAATTAAGAAATAGGGAAGAACAGATTTAGATCCACGGGGCTGTTTATCATCACAGTATTAGGTAAAATCTACTAGGTCTCTTTTATAATTTACTATTAATCTTTTAGATTATATTTGCTTCTAGTCATTCTTTTCAGTCTTGCTTCACTAATACCTTCAGAACATTTTCCATCTCTTACTTTGAAAAAATACTGTTAATCAATATTAATTTTACTGAAGAGCTTTGTTACAGCATGTCCACGTAAACACAAGAATTGCATTTAAAGATATATGACAATAGAGGATTTTTTTTAAAAGCTAGAGAGCCATTTCTCCCTTTAGGCTATTCCATGTTACTGTATGGTAAGGATTACAAACAGTCTGGCTATAAAATTGTCTTTAATTAGTTGACTCAGTGGCTTCCAACAGTGTGTTACAGTGGTCTGTGGGACTTCCATGTTACAAGATAGACTTTTGAATCTTACTCCATGCTGCTGGGTAGTCTTAGTATATCAACTTATATGCTGTCCTGTGGGAAGTGCAGGTAGAATTACCCAAATAACCATCCCACTGATTTTATTGGCTCACAGGGAAGTCACATACCTTGCCTTCTGAGGAATATGCATAGCTAGAGGTTGGGTGCCATCACAGTAATAACACTCTGAATGAAACTCAAGAGGACATAAAAGTAGAAGGTTAATAGAAATTTTAAGGGATAGTTTTATGTTTCTTCTTTCAAAACAAGTCATATACATAATAATTAAAAGCAAATTAACCCTTAATGTATTTTCAACAGCATGAATGAGAACTATTGTAATGGTCTAAATCTTTTTTAAATTAAAACAATTATTAATTATTCTTTCTAGAAGCACAAAATCTCTTCCTAAGATTTCAAACCAATTTTGATTATAATGTTTTCACTCCTAATATTTTAATAATACTTTGGTTTTTTGCTAAGGGTGCTGTTCTAATTTCGAAGAAACTCTTTTTCCCATTTTTTATGATAGGTGTGGGAATTCAAAGTTTCCCAGAATTTGTTTTAATGTAATCTAAAATCTAGTACAAGTCTAGAAACATGCATATTGAAAAATGGTAATTGATGCCTGAAATTGTAATTGCATGATGTGTATAGGCTTGGAAGCTGAAGAATTAAGTGCAAAATTTCAGACATGGGACATTTTCTTAAGATACAGTCCTAGAATTCTTTTCATGTTTTTCCTTATGTGTTCTTTTCCCTCATAATGAAACAAATTTCAGACTATGGTAATAGGTATTATGTGGTATTTGTTTTAGAATGTCTTAAGTGTATGTGTTACTTTCTTTTCTTAAGTCGAAGTAAGTATTTGTACTTATATGGTCAAAAATTCATAAAATTACATTTTTAATTTTCAGTTGAAGTAACTGAAAAACAATACACAACCTTAAGGATGCAAACTCCTATCAGTGTTGGACTGTTTTTTTTGTCGTGCAATCTAGATGTCTATGATGATAAAATACTGTTTTTGAATAATCCACATGTCATGCCACATCTCCAATGCAGCGAAAGAAAACGCTGAAGTTTTTAGGTTTAGGTAGTGTTCTTTTTTGTGTTTTAATTTTACTGGTGCCTTAGAACTACTGCTGTGGTAGTTAAGCCTCCATCTGGTTTGAGGGAAAGATACTGGTCTTCTGAATATTCTCTTTCTACTGGACAATTACATATGAGAATTCTGCCTCATGCCCTGAAGAAGGATTAGCATGTACTCTTTTGGAACATGATTAGTCTTTCTCTTTGCTTAGTTAATTCTAAGGACATTCAGGTGACTAGTTTGTGCTGATAGAATGTGTCAATGCAAGGAGGTCATGAGATAGCCTTTAATATTAACAAGAATGTAGTAATTTACGGCAAATATAAAATTCTCTTTGTTGTGTGAAATTTAATGTACGTCCTTCATGAGGTATAAGTGTAATGCAGTATTGAGAAGGTAACATTTGCTACTTAACATAATGGAACCAGCATGTGAGGCTTCCTTGCCAACTTCTTGTTTCTTATTGTAGCTCCAAAGTTAAAATAATTAATTTTCTAATCCTGATTTGGAGTTTAAGAAGAAAGTGTAACTACAGTAACTTTAGCTCCTTCCAAAGCCAATGTGTGCCGGTTCTGCTGCAGGTTTGTGCACACTTGAAATGTTTAATACTGAATTCCTTGAGGAAGTCAATTGCACAAAGTGGCTACCATCTTTACTACATCCTCATAATTTAAATTGTGTTTCTTGGACATATGTGCAATGCTCTGTCACTGCATTACTTTGTATTTTCTGGGGGCTTTTTTTTCCTTTCTTTTTGTTTGTTTCATTCTAGATTAAGCTTTTAAAATAAGTATCAATGTGGGGTTAAATATGAGAATATTATCTGTGCGCAAGTGTTGGATTGATTAAAAATCATGGCATTATGAATTATTAATATTTCTGCTCTTGCTGTTGCTTGGATTCATTGTGGGGTTTGTAATAATGTCATGTATGCCCTTTCAGGCCATTTTAT